TTTCATCTAAGTCATTAGTTTTGAAAGTTTGAAATCCAGAAATACGAACTTAGGATCTTGATTTAGGTTTTATTTTGAGAAAGCACATTTGCTATCCTTGCCATGGGTTTAAAACTGCATGAGACTGTGAAGTTTCCAGGTTGCCTTTGTAAGCCTCCATGTCAGATAATCTAAGGAACTGCTTTGAGTATGTTTTAGTAATTAACTTACTGCTTTATGACATTAAGAACATTTTCCAAAAACTGACTGATATACATACCTTGATCACTTTTTTGAGTCACATGAAGATTTTTAATGTATTGTTCACTGAGGAGGAGTTACACAGTACTTTTTTTTTAATACAAAAAATCACCACCAAAAGGATTCTGCCACTATCAAAAGTAGAATCATTAAACTTCACAGGCCTTAGAATCTTGACATAGAATGTATATAAATTGTAATTTAGAGAAACTAGTAAGACACCACCCTTTCTCATCCCTTTAACATAATCTCAGCTGTGTAATGAGGTTATATTCAAAGGGCAATCTCAAACTTCAAGCAAAGTAGGTAATCTACATTTCCAAGTTTCAGAAATCAAACAATTACAAATAAGTAAAAAAGCTATTTTCTCCATTTAACTTACAGAGTGTTTAAAGAAGATACTAAGTTAAAACTATCGAGAAAACTCAGAATACTGTGTGTATTCTGAATAGAGAAAAACACAAGTTTCTGTCCCCTTCTCCTGATTACAAGAAGTAGTCTGTAGCAAAAGAATATCGACAAATATTAGAGACTGACTTAGAGAAAATGAGAAAGAAGTTTTGCCTATCTATATGTCACATGTTCTGGGATGAGAAAACAGGATACATAACCTGCCTAACTTCTATGTTACTCTAATATCAGCTTTAAACAAACCATCTCACCTGTTCTGAAGATGAGGACATATTCCAAAGAACAGCAATGTGATGTTGGCAAAAAGGGGAAAAAAAAAAAAAAAAAAAAAAAAAAAGGTAGAGAAGATTAAACAAACACCTGATCCCTCTTCTTATACAAGCAAGGAGATATAAAAAACCCAAGGAAATTAAGGAAGAATATCTATGGTTTGTAAATAATGTACAATAAACTGTTATAGATTTAAAAGTTCTGCAAGATTTAGAAAAAAGTAGGAAATTTTAAGAAAGAAGCCTCAAAATAAAAAGGACATAAAAAATCCCAAGATAAAGCGTGGTAAAAGTCACAGAGCTGTAAAACAAACCAATCTGGAAGTATACCGGAAACCTGCGAGTCGGTCCCTCCATAAGCACCTTTCCCAAGGCTTGGGAAAGTTTTGCATCTGTTTCTGAAGCATCTGGTGCTAGCACTTATTTGAGACAGGTTACAGGAATACTTGTTTACTCCTGTATGAAAATTCCTGTGTTTCTAAGAAACAAAGAAAATAGCAGCAAAATAAATAGCAGTAGGAAAAGTATCCATCTTCCAAGTTCACACTTCAACTGACTCCAAATCTCTTCACTCCTCAAGGAGTATTCTCGGACATAACGTATCCTGAACTAAACAAAAGCTAATCTGAGAGAATGGCAGTAATAACTACAAGCTTAATAAAGTCTTTTCACAAAACTTACTCCTTTCAGTATTACAGTGATTTTACCAAGTGTCATTATAATCAAAGATAATTTCTAAAAGTAAGAATAAAATGTAGTTATTTTATATGCTGTTAAATTTGGATTCAAGAGCACTTAAAAAGTATACATAGGCAATAGTACTGCTACTAATTTGTCATTCAATGGCTGTTCTATCCTTGATTTGCCCTCTACTGAATGACAAATCTCATGTTACCAAAATGAACTATAAGAACAGCTTAATTATCAACCAAAAAGACTTATCAAACTTATAAATTCTCAGCACTAAATAACTGCACAGCATGACTACAACTTGCCATTAAATAAGGCCTCCCTCATGGCAGATCTGAAGGGACAGCACTGAATGCTTAAACACGTGACACTAATCAGAATATTCTGTCCTTGTGGGAAAATTTCAGAAAAGTGGTTCAGAAAAGCAAGAAAATGCACACATGCACATAGACAAGCATACTGATTTCAGTAAAACTGAAGAGATCTTTTAGTTTCATAATCAAATTCATGGTCAAAGTCACATACAAAGATTGATTCCAAACTCAAACAACAACAGGGGCACTTACCTGGAACATTTGAGCAAGAACTTCAAACCTAGTTTCCTACATCTCAGGTTAACACTCCCAACCAAGGTAAAATTTGCCATAGCAAGACAGACAGATGACTCTTTCATTCAGATATTTAACATGGAAAAACAAAATTTGGAGCATCACAAATTTATGGCATGCCAAAACTATGACCTGATCAGTTCTGACAGATCCAAGATCCCTCAGCTGTCAGTCAGAGAATAGAAATTCAGGTTTCACCATGCAACTGTGGTAAAAAGCTATGCAGTACAAACTATCAGGAGCCCTCAAAGTAAAGAAACTCCTTCTCTCATCACATGTCTTCAGAAGCTCCAGAACACTGGGTCACAGATTTGAAAGGACCCTAAAACACACCAGCCAGCCACTGTTAGTATTGCTAGAAATTTCATGCAACAAAGTCTTCTCAGAGTTACACAGTTTATTCATATATCTTGTGTTTTCACAACCAGACACTTCTGTTCACAAACTGCACTACTTTCCCAGCACTCTAAAATATCTAATGCAATTACCTACTGTCTATGTTTGGAAGAACTGAACATCAAGTCTACAATCAGTCTAACTCTCCACACTAATCTGTCGCAGACTGACTCTAGATCTGCACTGAAGCAGGGTCTCTAAATTTCTTCAGGGAAACATACAGGATAATGGGCAAAAATAACATTAAACCAGTTTTATATATTCTCCAGTCTTCTGTCAGGCTATGCACAGCATAGGATAGAGCAAGAAAATGTCAGCTTTGATTTTCATACACCAGACTCACATCAGAAACGGGAACCAAGGATGCCCCCATCCTCCCCTCCTTCTTTTCCTGAAAATATCTGAACCTGTCCATTATCTGCACTAAAATGTAATTAGTGCAAATATACCAACAGTCCCTACACATGAAGATGGAGATCAAAAGTTCTTCAAGGTGGTACAATATAAGTTTGTTGAACAAAATTAAGAGAGGTTTTAGATGGGGTAGCTACATCTACATAGAGCCATGCTTGTAGATGCTCTCTTTGCAAGGGCTGTATTTTCCCCTGCATGGACACAGAGTGGTACTACCAAAATTCATGGGGAATTCTGGCTTTTAAGTAAAAAAAAAAACATTTGTTTAAATACTTCCCTCATGAAAGGTGTCAACAGGAGCTCTGACCCCCTACCTATAAAAGCTATGTGGATCCAAAATATTCATAACAAAAATTAACATCATCTGCATAATCCCTTTAAAATTGGCGTAAAATTGTACTGCAACTGATTCAAGCATGATGCTAATGTGATTTAAGAGTGTTCTTTTTATTTTCAGTCTCTTCTGTACTTATGCATATCTGAAAGAAAAATTCAGGCTACCTTCATGTTTTAAAACAAAAGATTACTTAGGATAGTTTAATTTACCTGGCTTTGGAGCTGCCTGAGACGTGAGCATCTGGTGGGTTCTAAACATTCGCAAGCATGGCATCTTTGCGGAACGCATCTTAGGTGGTAACACATTGCCAAAAACAGGAGTTGAGCACCCACTAACAGCAATACGCAGGAGGCTTGCCATTTCACCCAGATCTCACAGCAGATTCCTTGCCACGTATGGAATCCCTGCTGCACATGTGGAAACAAAGCAAGAATTATTAATGATACTAGATATAAAGTATGTAAACTCAGCAGCTTAAGTCTGGTTGACTGCCAGTAGCCACGAGACTATTATTTCTTTCTAGCTAGAAAAGAAAAATAACATTTTTTCAAACTAAGTAAGACAACTATCAAACTGAAGTAGCAAGCCTGTGGGAGGACTGACGTTACAAGCTGACCTAGAGATCGTATTTCTGTGACTCATGACTGTTTTCTCTTTACACCGTTGCTCTAAACAAAGAATTCTGACACGGGAAAACCTCCTGTCTCCCGAGGAACCAGACAAAAAATTCCAGCCCGAGCCCGAGCTCCCAAAGCTGCTACCCGAGGGGGCCGCCGCCTCCCAGCGCTCAGCAGACGTACCAAACCAGGCACCCGCGGCGGGACGAGCCGGGGACGGACAAGGGCGCCTGGCCGCCCCTCAGAGCAGGTGCCCGGCGGCGGAGGGAAAAGCTCCGCGCCTGGAATCCCGCCGTCCCGACCCGTCCCGTCCCGCCCCTCACGGCAACGGCCCCACCGCTTCCCCCCAGCCCGGCCCACAACGCAGGGGCCCCGTTTCGCTCCCGCCGCTATTTATAGCCCACTGCCGCTGGCTGACCTTGGGCGGGCGGCTCGCCCTCCGCCGCCCGGGCCCGCCGCCCCCCCGCCGACACACAGGCCAGCGGCTACCGCGCCCCTCCCGGGGGGAAGCCCCGCACCCGGACACTCCTCCGGTCCCCGGGGCCCCTTCCCGCGCCACCTGCCTTCTCCGCACGTCCTGCCTTTCTTCTCTACACGTCCTTCCTCCCGCACGTCCGTCCTTCCTCCCACACGTCCTTCCTTCCTTCCTCCCACCCGCCCTTCCTCCCGAGCGCTCCACGAGCGGGATACCGCAGTCTTCGCCCCAGCAACCGCCGCCCTCCGCCCGCGCCGGGAGAAAGGCGGAGGTGCCGTCGCCCCGGCTCCGCGCACAGCCCCCAGGCCCACCGCACCCACCAGCCGCGCCGCCGGCGCCGGCCCCACCGCGGCACTGACCGACCTTGGGGCGAGGCGGTGCGTCGGTCCCGGGCGGGGCGGGGCATGTTGGAGGGGCGGGGCGTGTTGGAGGGGCGGGGCATGGCGGCGGGGCGGGGGGGTGTTGGGGGCGCGGCATGGCGGAGGGGCGGAGCGCGCCGGAGGGAGGCGGGCCACGGCGGGGGGCGGGGCTGCCCGCCAACCCGGAAGGAGTGAGGGGAGACGGAGGTCGCCGCCGTCGCGTCACGCGGCGCGTCCTTGTGCCGGCGGCGGGGGGCGCCCGTCACGTGGTGGCTGCGGCTCGCGGCTGAGGGGCGGCCGCGCGGCCCCCTCACCCCCCCCCGCGCGCCCACACACACACACACACACACACACACACACGCCGCCCGCCGGTCCCTGCGCTCAGCCCGGTGCCGCCGCGGTGGCGAGGGGCTTCCCGGGACGTTGGGGGAGCTCCTGGGTGCTGGCAGGAGCCGGCGCCCGCGCTCGCGCCGCGGCGGGCCGCCAGTAAGTGAGGCGAGGCGAGGCGAGACGGCAGAGTTGGCGGCAGCGGCGTGCGGAGGGACTTTCTGAGGCGCCGTTGTTTCGTGTGGACAAACTCCACAACATATAGGTGGTACCATCTTTGTTTTTGTCGTTATTTCTTGAAATGTGTAACAAAGCGGTGATCTGCTGTGTGTGTTGGACTTAGAGCGGTAGATACGATACACGAGGATAACAGAAGGGGAACTCTGGCAACTGTATAAATAATACATGAATCAATAAAGAGAACATGCTATTAAAGAGACACCTTACGGAGGACAACTTGTCAGGTTGCTAATTGTCTGTTTATGGTGTCTTATTTCACACAATCTGTTGCTTTTAGGTATGAGCTAGGGTTTGGGTTTTTTTTGTCATTTTTTTACATTTTGCGTACCTGCTCATGCAAAATACGCATTACCAGAGTTGTCCCACAGATTCCAGTCCCACAACTCACGAAGTGTGATTACTGAAAAAAAGAGTCTCTGAGAGTAGTTAATGGGTTATGCTGCTACTAGATGTTCAGGAGACTACTGTGCTTTTATATAAATTTGTGGAAAAGATTCCATTGTGAGTTACAGCTTATGGGTTAATATATGTGCTTATGTTTTGGGCTCAGTAACCATTGACTAGTGCAATGACATGCCTCATCAGTATCATAGGGATCAGCATAATTCCAATTATTACTAATGTATTCAGTTTTAAAAGCTAGAACCAGCCGCCACCATTTCTCTAATTAGAAATATATTTTCAGCATAAAAATTTTTAGGGAAAAAAAAAACAAAAAAAAAAAAACAAAAAAAAACCAACATGTAAAAGTGCTTGTGTTCTGAATAGTGACAAAGTTGCAGTTGGTGGTTTCTTGGCACCCGGCACTGCAGGTGTGTCCAGTATTGCTTCTGCATTAAGTTTTAGATTATTAGGTAACATGCTTAGGATGAAACAGGTAACTGCTCTAGCGGATATTTGTAAGTGGTCATAACTGCATTAGGTGGAAGTTCTAATCCAGACATTGGGTGCTTAGGATGTATCTTGCGAGCTTAGCTATCTCAGGTTTTCAGCTGTTTGGTCTGAGAGAACTGAAGTAATTGACAGGAGTTTAGCTACTCGGGCCAGAATATACTAAGCAGAATTTTAGGCATTGTCTAAAGGGGTTGACTATTGTAGATAGCATTTGGGGATTGTAATTTTGGATTTAACGGCCTGAAAGATTCATTTTAAAATTTTTGTTTTATGTCTCTACATTGGGGAGGAGAAGTTGGGTTCCCAACGAAACACGACTGCTCTCATGCAAACTTCAGTAGTGCATCTGTAACGAAAAGATGGATCTGGAATCACATTCTTCTCTAAAAGGTAAGTAGTTGCCAAACAGTCATTAAATTAAGGTAACATAGAACGTCTGCTGTGTGAAGAGAATTCAGAGGTTAAAAGTTGTCTGGTTGAGTAATGATAAACTGAGGCATTTAATTCCTCATAGGCATATACCTTAAAGAATGAGATTTGCTTTCATGAAAGATTGGCATGCTAAAAAGTGATGCCAGTATATAATGATTACTTACTTAAAGGATCCTGAGACTAGTGATTGAGAATCTCAACTTCCTTTTTCACATTAATGTGAACTTTTCATTTTCCTCCTGGTAACGTAAAGTCAACAGCTGTGACACTATAGGCTTTCAAACTCGCTGAAGTAACACAACACTGAATATTTTCAATAGAGTTACTTTAGTAGCTAATTTGTGATCTTTAAAGGATTGGTAGTACTGCTTATATCTTTTTGACAATTGTTTACAGAAAGGAAGTCTTCCAATTGTTTTGAAGACTCATCAAAATCTCCTAGAGTTGCTCTTATTTCAGTTGCAGAGTGTAGATTTGTTTATCAATCTTCACTTTCAGTAAGGGTTGCCTAGGAACAGTTTTCCCATGAGCCTAATTAATTTTAACTGTCACCTTTACTGTCTGGCCAACTTTGTCTCTCACCAAAAATCAGTCCAATTCATGCTTTGGGGAAGTAACAAATATTTTACATTCTAGCCCCCCCACCCCAGCAAATAATTTAAAATGGTGTAATATAATAATAAACCAAATAGGAACATAGCTTCCATTTAACAATGGTACAGCTGGATTTTTTTTTTAAATATGGGACAGTGCTATTCTGATTTTTTTATAACATTTCATACATACTTATTTTTCATCCCCTCACAAGTGATGAACAGGGTTTGACCTAACACCACACAAGCCTTTGGCTTTGGCAGTAGAAGGAGCAGGCCAGCACAGGCCGGGCTCTTCAGGGAGACGAAATGCAGACCCCACCCCAGCGGGGCCAGCTGAGGTGTGATTTGGGCACCCCAGATCCCCCGTACCTTCCCCACCTTGAAAGCAGAGCATGATCTGCAGTTTGCAAAGCAAATAGAACAAGACTGGACTAAAAATGGGCAAATATAGGTGAATTAAGATGTGAATTGAATCATTCACAGTTAATGAGATAATATTAGCAAAATGATTTACGTGGACAGGCTCCTTCAGTTAGTTCCTGTTGGCATGGAAGGTTTTAAAAATAGAAGAGCGTTTGTTACCACGTCATGCATAAATTATACATGAAAATACATTATTCTGAGCACATTTATATTAAATAGCCCGAACAGTACAATCATATTGTCATGTTGGAGTTGTAGCTTTGTTGGCTTAAATTTAGAATGTAGCCTGCAGCTTCTCCACACCATCCCCTTTCCCGTGGGAACAGCTGTGGAGGCCCGGGGTGGGAGGACGTGCCGGTGGCTGCAGGTGCTCTGCCAAGTGCAGCTGCAGTCTGGCTCCTGCCGCGGTCGCCCTGTGTGTCCCTAGGGAAGCAATTCGGCGAGAATACTGCCTTTCTGAAAACGCCGTTTCCAAGCTTTGGCGGGTTTTGAGCGAAGCGTGACCCTGGTGCGTCCCGCGGCTGCTGACGTGAACCGACCCCATGCCGGTTGGTCGCTGGAAGTCGGTCGGCTGGGCAGGGGGAGGGGAACTCTGACTCATCAGTTCTGAAGACGTGAGTTTGGCAACGCGGCCCGAAATGCGGGCGAGAGCCTTTACCCGGCGGCAGCCGAGGGGGCCGTGCCGGCGGCGGGAGCTCCCCCCGGGCTCCGCCGGCGCGGCGGTGCCGCGGACCCCGGCGCCGGGGTTGCTATGGCGACGGGCGCGGCCGAGCCGCCAGGGGGCGCCGTCAGCCGCGCCGGGCCGCGGCCATCGTGGCGGTGCCGTGTGGGGGTGAAACTGAAAGTGAAGGGCTCGGGCGGCGGCGAGGCGGGGGTCGCGCGGCGCCCGACCCCTCCCGCCCGGGGTCCCAGCCTGCACCCGCGCGGCCGCCGCGCGCCGGAGCCGGCCAGCCTGAGCATGGCGGAGAGTTTCGAGCTGGCGCCGGGGGCCGGCCGGGGCCGGGGCTCGGGCCGCGGAGGCGCCGCTCCCCCCAGCCCCGCCGGCACGTTGCAGAGCGGTGGAGGGGCCCGCCTCGGGGGCAGTAGTTCCCACGGCTCCGGCTCGGCCGAGGAGCAGCAGCAGCAGCATCAACCGGGCGGCCTCTTCCCGCAGCAGGAACCTTTGCGGCCTCCGAAGACGGCGCCGCTGGGCAGCGGAATCTCAGGTACGGGCCGACGCGCGGCAGCCCCTTCCCTGCCCCTCCGGAGGCCCCCGGCGTCGAAGGTGTCGAGGAGCGGCCCCCTAACACCGCGCGCTGCTCGTTGGCCCGCACCGCGCTGCTCCTGCTTCGGCTGCCGCTCCGGCTCCTTGCGGCCCTCCTTCCGCCCCCTTCCCCCGCTGCGCCGCCGTCCCACCGCGACCGGAGCCGGGGGGCTTCCCCCGCCACCTCCGGCCTGCCCAGGGGACGTGCCCTTTTTCCCGCCCCTGCACCGAGGGGCAGGGGGGTCACCGCGGCCTGAAGGCCAGCGCTGGCGGTGTGAACCCCGGGCACCTGCCCGGCTCCACTCGGCACTGGACGGAGGTGAACCACATACAGGCCTCTGCACCTTTCTTCAGAAGAGTGGTCGTGTTTCTGGGTTATGGGCCTGTGCCCCGGTAAAAGTGTGATGTTGTATTGCAGCCGCTCACAGCACCTCTTTTACCCCCTTTCTGTGCCCTCGCCTCTGTGTGTGCATTTTATCCATCTGTTAATCTGACTGCAGATGGTCTCAGCCTTCCTCTTCTTAAAGAACCCCAGCCTGAAGGTTTGACAAAAAATAAACCCAACCCAACAGTAACACAAAGCATTGTTTGTTGGTTAGCTTTTTCAGGTAGGTATCATGTTCTATTTTCAGCAAACTTGGGAGTTAATTTACAAGGCTACAGTAGGAAAATACAGAATGTATGGTTTTAAAAACACTTGGGATTTTTTTGGCAGATGGTGTACAAGAACAATGATAGCTAAGCGTCTTTGAGGATTATGTTAAAAATTAGTGATTTCTTACATTTATTGACCTTCAAAGTCTTGCATTTGTATCTGAAATCTATCAAAAATCCACAAGATGAGCAAGCATACTGTAAGCAGATTTACTCATTTCTCAGGTTAGCTCTTTCAGAAAACATGTTTTCATGGGAGAGAGCTCTTTTTTTTTTTCTTTTTCCTTCCCCTCCCATTTTCTTGGTCACCTTCACGTGAACATTGTGTTTACTTTCTGTCAAATAGAAAGACCTCTAGAGTGAACCTTTAGAGACCTGCTAAAGTAAACAGTTTACCCATATTAAAAAAAAAAAAAAAAAAAAAAAAAAAACAAACAGTAAAAACAATGTTTGACATAAACTTGAAAGTATATTTATGCTAAAAGTATAAATTCCAAAAAATACTGTATTCTGTGTGTACTCTGTGTGAATATATACTAGTTCAGCGATTTCTAAGAACAGTTGTTAACAAAATCTTTTCAGACCACCTACAACAGACAGGAATTTCATCTGGATCACAAGATAAAGTTTCGGTTCCTGATTCTGGACCAGAAATGGCTGAACCTCAGGTGGCTGTGGCTCCTGTGGTAACGTCAAAGTTGTCTGTTAAAGCACCTGAGTTTTATCCATCAGGATACAACCAGAACTTCAATCAGAATTTTGCAGTGAGTGTTTATCTTCTCTTCTTAGTATATGCCAATTATATTCAAATTAGCAATGCTTTCTTCAGCTCTTGTGTATCAGATGACTTGAATGTTGCATTTGCTGAAGAGATACCATAAATTCTGATTATAACCTTCAGAGTCACAGTCAGAATATTGTGATAATGGGTAAATATTGTGGTGTACATGAGAGCCTTTAGAGTGGGCTGTTTTGCTAAAGCTTGCTGCAGATAACCACATTCCTTGTGGTTACATTGATTGCACCCAACATCAGAGTAAGCTGTCTTTTTGGCAACTGGCTCTGTCATAGTTACATCTACACTGCATTTTAAGTAAAGGCTTAGTTGCACTTTTATGCAGATTTTACAGGTTTTTGAAAGAAGTGTGGGAGAAAGCTTGAACGTTATAGTTTTTCTGAGCACAGTCTTTACCTTTCATAAACTTACGGTGCCATGGGTATGATTGGCCCTGACTGCCTAACTCAGTGTACCATCACATGTCTTTTAATTCCTTCAGGGGTAATGTATCACCAAAGGGCAAAAAAGTAGGGTTAGTTTCATTCCTAGCAGTTACCTTTCGACACACCTAATACCAAATATATTTGCAGCCAGACTAAGGATGATTTCAAATCAGTATTGTAAATGCATCATGTAATAACAGTTGGTAATTCTTATTTTCTACTCCATTGTCTTCTATGTTATTGCTTCAGTAATTCTACTCCAGGGAAGATCTATGTGAATTCTGGGAATATTCTTTTGTTATGCAAGCAGCCAAATACTGTCACTATAGATATATATATATATATATATATATATAAACAGGTGGGAACTATTACTTTTACAAGTACAATCAAGTAATAAAAAACAATTATAGCGAAACAAATAGATTTTTAATAACTTACAGAAAAATACTTGATGTGAGTACTAAATATGGTGGGTTTGTGGTGGCTTTTCCTCACCAGCAAAACTGATGTTATCTTAACGTTACCAGTTTTGCCAGCTTACTGAATAGAGTTATTGTCCTGGATAATACAAGCCAATAGCCAATATACAACTGTTAACAAAATGGCAGCACAAACATGCTTCAGTGAATGGATAATCTAGGGGAAAAGTAACTACTTTACCCGAGTACATGCTTTCCATAAATGAAGGATTTCAGTTTCAAAACAAAAAAATAAAAGCCATTTGGGATGGCAGGCACACATGGATACCTATAATTACAAAGTTTTGAGGCCAGCAATTTTGCTTTTGAGCTGTTTTGCAAAAACACACAAGCATGTGGGAGTTCCTGATTGCTGAGTTGTAGGAATATGCTCTGAATGTGACTCATCTGTTAATAAAAATATCTCTTAAAATGCTAGCAAAACCTAGAACATTTATTTGGAAGTATGTTGCAGGAACCTCAATCTAATCAAAACATACTAGGCACAGAATACTGCTGTTTCAGACTTCTCCCCTTCACTAATACAAAGTTTGGGTTTTTTTTTTACTTTAATGAGTGAACTAAATTCATAAATGGGGCTCACTTCCAATCACAGAATCATAGACTGATTTGAGTTGGAAGGGACTTTAAAGACCATCTAGTTCCAACCCCCCTGCCACAGGCAGGGTCACCTTCCTCCAGCCCAGGTTGCTCCCAGCCCCGTCCAACCTGGCCTTGAACCCTTCCAGGGAGGGGGCAGCCACAACTGCTCTGGGCAACCTGTGCCTGTGTCCCATCACCCACACAGGGAAGAATTTCTTCCTGCTTTTCTGGAGCTCCCTTTAAGGACTGGAAGGCCACTCTAAGGTCTCCCCAGAGCCTTCTCTTCTCCAGGCTGAACAACCCCAGCTCTCTCAGCCTGGCCTCACAGGGGAGCTGCTCCAGCCCCTGACCATCTTTGTGGCCTCCTCTGGACCCCCCCCAAGCAGGTCCATGTGCTTCTTGTGTTGGGGGCCCCCAGAGCTGGACACAGCGCTGCAGGGGGGTCTCACGAGAGCAGAGCAGAGGGGCAGAATCCCCTCCCTCGACCTGCTGCCCACACTGCTCTTGATGCAGCCCAGGACACAGTTGGATTTCTGGGCTGTGAGCGCACATTGCTGGCTCATGGTCAGTTTTCCATCCACTAATATACCCAAGTCCTTCTCCTCATTATTAGTTTAGTATTTATTGGCTTAGAAATAAAGTGTTGATTTCTTGTTTGATTGTACATTATTGTAATTACTATGTGTGTCCATATAACATTTGAGTATTAGATAAGTTAATTTCCAGTTAGTTCCGATACTTAAAACGATCAGTTACCTGTGAAGATAGTTTTAAGGGGTGCAGCATACCAGGCATACTAGAATTTTCATAAAAACTTCACCAGGCCTTTGGGGAAGAATGTTGTCCATATAATTCTTAGTTTGCATACAGCTGTCCATCCCATTGTAAACTGTGGGTGTCTACAGTAGAATTGGTGACTAGATTTAGGTTTGGATTGCCAGTGGGAAATGTCTGACTTGTTCTCTGGCATGGGTGTATGATAATAATATGGCTGTCAGTCCATCAGAAGGGCATAATGATGTTCTCACTTCATAGTTTTAGGAGTGAGATCTGTATTATCTTGCATGAATCCTTCCCATACCCTGCTTTTCTTCTGGGTTTTTGGTTTTGCTTTGGTTTGGTTTTTTTGACTTCAGTTAATTTACAAAAGGAAGCTAAGCAACTTCAGTGTTGGTTTTATACATTTAGCCAAACATGAGGGTGTCACTTAACCTCCTACAGCATGGATGGGTGATTTTGTGTATGCAACAGTCTTTGTACTGAAGTTTGCAATACCTTTACTGTAAACTTGTTGAGTGCATATAATCTGAAGAGAAAAAAAGCTTGTTCCCAATAAGTCTGAAGAGAAATCAAATCAGTGATAAGTTATTAGTGACCAAGTTCCTGAGTGGAAATGTTGTGAATAATTACCAGGTGTGGGAAAGCGATAATTAGCACGTCCAGAAACAGAGCCCAAAAGAAGATTTGGCCCATGGACCTCTTCTGTAGACTTTCTGGGTTTTATCTTAATATAAATCAGAGGAGTTTTAGTACCTATTTAGCCTTTTCATTGTTACATCTTTAAACTCGTGAGCTGACTCTTAGCAGAAGAGAGACAAATCTATAATCTTCAGACTGGTGAGACTTGTGAATAATTCAGGATCCCATCCTATAGCTATAAAACATATTGGAGAAGGGTTAGACAGTGTTGACTTGACTGAGAAATCATTGAAATTAATGGAAAATTTCTAGTTGACTTTCATGGCTTTGAATTGAAAATTTGTAATGAATATGTAAACTTAGAGCCTCCTGTTAGCTAACAGCTGTTTAAAAGTAATCAAGGGCTTTGCTTGGTTTTCCTTTAGTTCATACAGTACATCGTGCTATCTTCTATGTTAAATCTTAGAATCTGCCAATGAGAAATGCAAGTGGTTTATATCTAGAGGTTACTGGGCTAAGTGTAATCTGTTTCTGAAGTATCAAGTGTTAATAATTTAGCCATATACAACTTTATTATAATGTTTGAATTACTCCTTTTTCTCTCCCATTTGTTCTATTCCCTGACATAGTTACAAAAACCTAGACTGCCTTTGGTGTTGCATATGTAGTACAGGTAGATGAATGTGGTACAGAGTTTAGCCTCTTAATTAACAAATGGGAAAAGGAGTGTGAATACAGGGACACCAGTATACCAAATTGTATCTGGACCCCTTCCAAAGCAAAGACATTTTCCACCAAGACTAAATTCTTATCAGGTGAGTATGAGAGGAAGATACCTTCCTCTCTGCTGAATGAGGATCTCTTAACAACCTGATGACTGTAAGAAAGAACAACTTTTACTAGGCACAGCAATTGCATTCCCCGCAACGTGACTGGAGAGTTTTCAAACAGGTTGTTTGGAGAGATGCTAGTTCAGCTGTTTGTGATTAAGCTGCAGTTGTTGCACAGTACTGTCATAGTTCTGTGGAACAAAATACTTTATTTTACAGAACTTTTACTGGGCTGTTTGAAATTACCTAGTAAAAGTTGATTTCCTGTAGCGAAATGGAATATTTAGCAAGCTACACATATGCCAGTTAGCCTTTATTCTTTTTCTTTATGATCTCCAAACCATTAGAATTGTAGAATATTTTAGGTTGGAAAGGACCTCTGAAGTTTCTCTGCTCCAATCCCCAACCCAAAGTAAACCAACTTAGATCAGGTTGTTGAAGGTTTTATTCTTATGAGTAGTAACAATTTGTCACCATTTTCATAAACCAGTATTTTTCTCCTATTTCTGATGGGCTATATTAAGTAATCTTGTCTTTAGTATTATTCACTGGGCAAATGTTCTACTTGATTAAATATCATAGGAAATCTTTCTGGTTTTTCTTTTGTTATATTGATGTGTCCCCCCATTAGCTTAACTTGTATACTCTTATGACATGGCTCTTTGAATAATTTTGGAAAATCTGCTTTTTTCCCCACACATTATTCACAGGTCATGAAATTAATGTCAGTACTTGATTTTCAGCAATGTGTATCTGTCTTTCTCCACAGTTCATATCCAGATAAAAATCTCAGATCCATGTTGCTTCACAGTAGAGAAGAGATCAGGGCATTTTGAAGAAATAAAGTAAATTACATCCCCTTGTTAAGGGAAAGGTGGTGGGGAGAGGTAGAATATAAATATAAACCTTATCAATGCATCTGTGTCCACTTAAGTTGTGGTTTAACCCCAGCCAGCAAGTAAGCACCACACAACTGCTCATTCACTCCTTCCCCCTCCCAGTGGAATGGGGAGGAGAGTGAAAAGTAAAACTAGTGGTTGAGATAAGAATAGTTTAATAACTAAAATAAAATATAATCATAATAATAAAACATAGTAAGGATAATTGTAATGAAAAGTAACATAATAGAGACACATAAATAAAACCCAAGAAAAGACAAGCAATGCACAATGCAATTGCTCACCACCCACCAACCGATGCCAGAGCAGTGATCTGCCCCTCGCAGCCAACTCCCCCCAGTTTATATACTGAGCATGACATTCTGTGGTATGGAATACCCCTTTGGCTAGTTCGGGTCAGCTGTCCTGGCCATGCTTCCCCCAATTCTTGTGCACCTTCTCACTGGCAGAGCATAAGAAACTGAAAAATCCTTAACTTATCATAAGTGCTACATAGCAACTACAAAAACAGTGTGCTAACAATATGATTCTCACACTAAATCCAAAACACAGCACCGTAACTCTGTCCCAACCAAAACCAGGACAACTAAGTAGAAAAAATGTTTTATCATTTTTAGCTCAATTTTTTATTACAGTAGTTGCATTTTAAACCTTTTTCTTGTTAAATAGTAGATTAATTGAGAATCCTGATGTTCTCTATGTTACCCTTATGTTTTGAATGGCTAATTAAAAGTAATGATTTTTTAGCAGTCCCTTTTCAGGATTCTGATTGCACTTCTGAAATCTATGAGATTCTTTTCACAATCTTTTGTGTAGTGTGACAAAGTGAATTATTTCTACTGTGTTATTACTAGTGACATCACAAGGTATGCCACTTCCTTTGCTATTCCCCTCATATACTAGTGTTATAATCATCCAGAAAAGTATTGATTTTTAGATAGTTACATACATTCATTTCTGAATAGATAAAATCAGCAGCCTTCTGTTCCATTGTCCGGAGCATAAACACTGATAAAGTGGTGTTGTGCTAGCTTATCCTTTCCTTAGGGAGCAGGTGTGTTTATTGTATTTTTAACCTCAGTAGCAGCAAATTAATGCAATACCATTTGAGTACTTTCATTTCATACATTGTAATCTTTCATCCATTGCTAAGAGATGCAAATTTGCTGACTTTAAAAGGTTCGTTTTCTTGGCTATGCTTTCTACATGGGAACACTACACTGTATTTGTTATATTTTTGTAATTTCATAGAATCACACAATGGGTTGGAAGGGACCTTAAAGACCATCTAGCTCCAACCCCCTGCCATGGGCAGGGACACCTTCCACCAGCCCAGGGTGCTCCCAGCCCCATCCAACCTGGCCTTGAACCCTTCCAGGGAGGGAGCAGCCACAGCTGCTCTGGGCAACCTGTGCCAGCGCCTCACCACCCTCACAGGAAAGAATATCTTCCAAACATCTAATTTAAATCTACCCTCTTTCAGTTTAAAACCATTACCCCTTATCCTATCCCTGCACTCCCTGACAAAGAGTCCCTCCCCACCTTTCCTGTAGCCCCCTTTAAGCACTGGAAGGCCACTCTAAGGTCTCCCCAGAGCCTTCTCGTCTCCAGGCTGAACAACCCCAGCTCTCTCAGCCTGTCCTCACAGGGAGCTGCTCCAGCCCCTGACCATCTTTGTGGCCTCCTCTGGACCCCCTCAAGCAGCCCATGTGCTTCTTGTGTTGGAGCCCCAGAGCTGGCCCCAGCGCTGCAGGGGGGGTCTCACGAGAGCAGAGCAGAGGGGCAGAATCCCCTCCCTTGACCTGCTGCCCACACTGCTCTTGATGCAGCCCAGGACACGGTTGGATTTCTGGACTGCAAACGCACATTGCTGGCTCATATCTCCTTTCTGTGTATTTTGGAGCACTATACATTCTATGTAAGCCCCAAATACTTTGAAACAAATTTTCAATTCTTTTTCCTTCTGCAGTTCATATATCTGCAGCACAGTTCATGTGTGCATCAGGAATGGGTGTTGAACCTCAATATGGTAGTTTTATTCTTAACAGATATACTTACTTAATAGTTTGTTAGTTAATCTTGCAACTAACTTGGCAAGCTATTTGATTTCTTTTTATGCTGTCTTTTGATTTGTTTTTAAGCTGTCTTTTGATTTGTTTTTCTGGGAGACCCTAATCTCTATAAAAACATGTTACCTAGTTCTTAAGATGATAATGCTGCTGGAGCTTTCTTATGCACTGAGGTCTGTGCACTCTAAAAATGTTGAAGTGAACTGTGTAATAAAGATCACTGTCAAGTATACAGAGAGTCAAGACTAAGGACTATATGGTTACTTCTGAAGATAGTAAGAATAACAACATTATTTTACATTCCTTTTACATAGTCGATATATTCTTTCACTGCTGTAGGATTCTTCCTTTGAAGATAGATATGATGGCTATCTGACTTTGGCAGAATATGTACAAGACTTCCTAAATCACCTCACTGAGCAACCAGGTTGTTTTGAAACGGAAATAGAGCAGTTTGCTGAAACACTGAACGCCTGGGTCACTGCGGATGAAGCTCTACAGGAACTTGTTGAACTCATCTATCAGCAGGTGATCTGTGTATTCTAATTTGTTACATAGTTGTATCTGTATAGTATTTTAATGGTTTGAGTATTTCTTTTTAGACTGATAGATACAGGGAAAGACTTTGTTCAGTAAACCGAAATGGTAGCTCAAGTGTGGGATACTTGGGTGGTTGATAAATTTCCCCAATTTCCTGTTTCCTTCGTTGTGTATTTGAGTCTCCTGGGTCACATACAAGAGTTGAAATTACAGCACTTTAATTAAAGGGAGTTATATTTGAATTGCTGTATTTATATAGTAGAAGTTGAATAAACTCTTAACCGATGTCAGAGTTGTACATTTTTTTCTATCCTGCAAAAAAAATTTCTTCATAGTACCAGGATACTTTTAATTCCTTGGTATTTTAAAAAATTAAATTTATACGTACTGTACACATCACCTTTTCGGAAACGCTCCTTCATTTATAGGTTTTCTTCTTCATTTGGAATATACCTGTTTCAGAACAACATAATTGAAAGAAAGGAAAGCTCATCTAATGGTAACTAGGTCCAGTCCCGTTGATGGACATGGAAATGAGGACAGAGACCTTGAGATGAACTCTCTACTAATTGAGGGAGCCATTGGAAAGAACAGTTTAATATCTGTTGCTTAGCAAATGAGCTGCTGTTTCTGTCTTTTGGGCTTGCTGCAGAGAATGAAGTCACACTTGTGCTTGCCATTTCCTACACTGAGTGTCTCTCACTTTCCTGGGTTGGTTGCTTTCAAATTCTACCTTGAAGAATGCAAACTCTTACTCACCTTTAAAGTGGCAGATACTTGCAGAATATTTTAATCTGAGGTATGTTGGAGCTGCATGACTGGTTGGTTGTTATACAGACCTGTAGAGTCTCAAGTTTCTAATTATCATACAGAATTAATGCACATTTAATTCAGAACAGTTTAGTTAGATGTTAAGATTACCTGTGCTGTGTTCAGGAAGAACATTTTCCCGTCCTTTATTTGAACTCATGGAGGATACTTAAAAAAAGATTAACATATTCAACATAACTTTATTGGAAGAAAAAAAGTGGAATTTATCCATTTTTAACTTCAAATATGTTAAATGCATTGACTCTCATTTAATGTAAGTCTTCTAATGTTATCATAGAATCACAGAATGGGTTGGGTTGGAAGGGACATTAGAGATCATCTAGTTCCACCCCCCTTGCTACAGGCAGGGACACCTTCCCCTAGACCAGGTCACTCAAAGCCCCGTCCAACCTGGCCTTAAAACCTTCCAGGGAGGGGGCAGCCACGGCTGCTCTGGGCAACCTGGGCCAGTGTCCCATCACCCTCACAGGGAAGAATTTCTTCCTTATATCTAATCTAAGTCTGCCCTCTTTCAGTTTACAGCCACTGTCTCTTACCCTGTCACTACACCCCCTGATAAACAGTCCCTCCCCACCTTTCCTGTAGCCCCCTTTAAGCACTGGAAGGCCAATGTTAAGGTCTCCCCAGAGCCTTCTCTTCTCCAGGCTGAACAACCCCAGCTCTCTCAGCCTGTCCTCACAGGGGAGCTGCTCCAGCCCCTGACCATCTTTGTGGCCTCCTCTGGACCCCCTCAAGTAGGTCCATGTCCTTCTTGTGTTGGGGCCCCAGAGCTGGACACAGCACTGCAGGGGGGTCTCACGAGAGCAGAGCAGAGGGGCAGAATCCCCTCCCTCGACCTGCTGCCCACGCTTCTCTTGATGCCGCCCAGGACACGGTTGGATTTCTGCGCAATGAGCGCACATTGCTGGCTCATGGTCAGTTTTCCACCCACAAACACCCCCCAAGTCCTTCTCCGCAGGGCTGCTCTCAGTCCGCTCATCACCCAGCCTGTATTTATGCTTGAGATTGCCTTGACCCATGTGCAGGACCCTGCACTTGGCCTTGTTGCACTTCATGTTGTTCACACAAGCCCACCTCTCCAGCCTGTCCAGGTCCCTCTGGATGCCATCCCTGCCCTCCAGCATGACACCACACAGCTTGGTGCCATTGGCAAACTTGCTGAAGGTGCGCTCAGACCCACCGTCCATGTCACCAACAAAGATGCTAAACAGCACTGGTCCCAACACTGACCCCTGAGGAACTCCATGTGTCACTGGTCTCCACTTGGATATCAAGCCATTGACTGCAACTCAAGTGCAACCATCCAGCCAATTATTTATTCACGGAGTGGTCCATCCATCAAATCCATGTCTCTCCAATTTAGAGTCAAGGATGTCATATGGGACAGTGTCAAATGCTTTGCACAAGTTCAGGTAGATGATGTCTGATGATGTCAGGTAGCTCTTCTTCCCTCATTTACCAGCACTGTAACCCTATCACAGAAGGCCACCAAATTCATCATTGTTGCCTCTTCTTCTTTCCCACTGTTTAAAAACAAGTCCAGTGTTAGGGTTGGCTCTGCTTTCCTCAACTAAGAAGCACTGAGTGTTATTAGTCCGAAATTATGTGAAAAATAAAATTTAGTGTAAAAAATCTGTACTAGTATCCAAAAGCATTGGCTTTAGTTTTGTGGTGTGTCAGGATGAAATAATGTTTGAGTGTAAGTCAACTATGCCTATTACTTTTCTGTCTTGAGCAGAGGCTCAAGTATTTGTGTTTCCTGGCTTATCACAAAACTGTTAGAATTGCTGAAGTGTATTTATAAGCATCTGCTTCAGTGATGTTAATTTATCCTAATTGAGCAGTTTTACAGATGCCAGGTTTGTGAAGGGAAAAGACTAAAATTAAGGAAACTCAAGTCATGTACAGGCCTCCCTTCATCTGTGTATCAGGTATCTTAGCCTGTCTTAATACCCCCTGTTCTTCCTAATCTGTTTATGTCCCTGGACAGAGTGAAGTGCTAGTTCTCTTGTTTTCCAAAAGTTGAACACAGACTTCATAGCTTAAGAATCTTGACTATGGTATAGTTAGTACAGTGGATTTATTCCTATTACAGCAACTAAAGTTTCTCAAGATATGTATTGATAGATTAGCCTTCATGCTTAGATAGTGACTTTTTGGGGTCAGAGATAAACTGGAATTACTAGCAACAATAATTCAAGGAAGATGATACTGCACTGTAATGATTGGTTATTAAGAAGACATAAAGTGGCTTTATTGGTCTCTGCGCTATGCCAGTTCATACTACCTAAAATTTAATTTTTTCAGTATTTGATTCAACCACAAATACAGACCAACTGATTAGGAAGGTAATGTTTTAAAAATACAGATGGGGTTTGAAGAATTTTTGTGTGTGTTTGGGTTTTGTTTTTTTTTTTTCCCTTAGGAAAGAGACGTGTAATTTAAGTGATGTATTTTGCCATATAAAAAAGGGGCACCTCTTCTAATCCAAGCAGCTGATTGAACCAAAGCTCCAAAAAGCTTGTTAGGCATTTCACATGCCTTTTATAAGAAACTAAATTCTATTTGACTATCTTAATTACTTAACTTGTATCTTCCAAAGACATTTCAGTTTTTTCCAGCAACTTCATGCACATAATACAGTTACATTGACCGCATATTTTTATTTGCCTGTAGAACGTAACTACATAAAATGCATTGACATGGTAATGGAAAGATGCTTTCTTTCAAACATGTTGGAAGCAGAAGCATGCAAGCACATCTGTAGTGCTGATAAACGGTCAAGATGTAAAAGGAATGTTCAAAGTTAATAAAGCTGTAAGAGGAGTTTAATGAATTCTTAGTATTCCTGTTTTCTTTTTGCCAGAGCTGATAGAGTTATTTACACCAGAACCTCTTTTCACTCAAGCTGTGTCTGAGAAATAATTTCAAATTCAAGTTTTACTAGAAGAGAGTTACAAACAAGTGAACAGTAATAAACTGCCACAATATTCTGCACTAAATTCTGGGAGAGGTTGAATGTAGACACTGCTGAATTTCCAATTACTTTTTTCCACCTCGAAATTTTGAACTATCAGGTTTGAAGCAAAATTTTTTTCAGGCAGGGTGTAACTTATGTTGTGGAATTTCATTCCTACCACCTGTTTTTAGATTACAAAAGTGTAAATGTTCAACAGTAACAGGACTTGCTTTAGAAAAAAAGACCCATCAGGAGCTATTAACTGTAATGATACAGTTTTAACTTCTGAATCAGGAGCTTCCTCTTCTGCAGATTGCTGGAGAATGTACAGGAGAAAGTATTTGTCTTTACTTGCCATGTTCTTGTACTCTTTCCCTGAAAATTCAGTAGTGCCAAAAATAGATTCTGGGATAAATAGCTCTTACACTGAATGAAGGTGACTTGTTTGTTTTTATGTACTCATTGCTCCTTGAGAGAGTACGTGTCCTTGAAAAAGTGTCTTAATGTCTACTGTTTATTTTTTGTATAAACAGTTTGTAACTGACTTTCAGACACTCTTTAGTTGTAGGTCACAGTGGAGAAGTAGAGTTGAGGACACATGGCATAATGGTGGTGGTTGTCTAAAAGCCACAAAATCACAGTATAATGAACTTTTAAGTGCTGAAAAGTGTGGATGATAAACAAAAATTAACATGACAAATAGTAATTATTAATCGCTCTTAAATTGTCTAATCAACTGTTGTTAAACACAGTTTTCAATAAAGCTTTTAAAGATATTTCCTGATAGCCTAATCATGTTTTATGAATAATTTATTTTTCCACTTTTGTTTTGGAAGGCCACAACTGTTCCAAATTTTTCCTACATGGGAGCACGGTTGTGTAATTACCTATCTCACCATCTAACCATTAGTCCACAAAGCGGGAACTTCCGACAGTTGTTACTTCAAAGGTCAGTATCAGCATGCCATTTTAAGCATGACTTTCTCAGGTTACGTGTCTTCCTATTTTGTATGTAACTCTTAACATCATGTACAAAGAGATGTATATATTTAAAATAGAAGTTTAGATTGAGAATTATTAAAGCACAGGTACATACTGAATATCAAATACATATATTTTAAAATACTTTAATATTTTTTAATATGAAAATATGATTCCATTCAGAGTTCTGTGGGCTATTTTGAACTGATTACCTTAGACTTATTTGAAACTACAGGGTAAATTTGAAAACTAGTCAGCTTTAAGAGTATATTAAATGCACATATAGGTACCGTCCTTGTCCTTTGACTCTTGCCAGGACTTATTTCATTGTGGCTTTTTCTTTAATTACTTTTCTGGCTAGAGTTGCTGTGTAAGGTTCATTCACTGATCATTTAATTGACTTTATATCTCTGAAGTAGATGCATAAAATCCAGAAATTCAGTTTTCAGTTACTACGGATTATTGTTTAATAATGATTAGAACTCATAGTTGATAAAAATGCAACATTTCTTAAATGGATGTATTTCCTTTTAACTCCTACTCCATTAAATTTGAAGCAGTAGTACACTTTAATACTTCAGAATTCTTTAGAAATGACCCTTTTTTTCTCTAAGGATTTCTGGCTTTCTAACCTTCAGGCTTGCTTCTTATTTTAAAAGTTTTAGTTAGTCTACCTATGTTTAGAAGCAAAAGCAGTATAAACTTTAACAGCAATGCCTTCTGATGATCTTATATCAGGAGTTGTAACTTATGGAGAAGCTGAAAATACTTTTTTTTTTCCCCTTTTCCCAAAGCAAATGAGCCTTATTGTCTTCAAAACTGTTGCTTTTATCTTCTCAGTTTTTAATTATGTAAATTACCTGAACATGAAGAAAATCCCTATTAATGTTGGATTATCTGGTTCCTGGTTTTTAAAGCCAACCCAATAGTTAACATTAATTTTAGCACCCTGAAGCCATGAATTGAAAGTTGCTTATGTTTTTATTACTAATATGGATGGAATGGGGGGGTGGAGGAATAAACAGCATAACAGTATGACCACAGAAAGCTCCTTTTCTGTTCTCAGCCCAAGTTTCTACCTTACATTTTGTATTTCACCTCCTTAGATTTTTCAGTTTTCCAGTGTTTCTTAATCCATTACATAACCATTGAAAATACATTAGAAGTTGTCTGGATTTCCTTTTACCTCAAATATTTTTTAATTCGGTTTTTGAACTGCTATGTAAACTTGTATACTTTTGGCACAGCTGTTGAATACTAGAAAAATTATTTCACTGCCATGTTATCTTAAGCCTGTTATTTGTATTTATATCTAAATTATAGAATCATAAAATCACAGAATGGTTTGGTTTGGAAGGGACCTAAAAGATCATATAGTTCCAACGCCCCTGCCACGGGCAGGGACACCTTCCACTAGACCAGGTTGCTCAAAGCCCCGTCCAGCCTGGCCTGGAACCCTTCCAGGGAGGGGGCAGTCACAGTTTCTCTGGAAAACCTGTGCCAGTGTCCCACCACCCTCACAGTGGAGAATTTCTTCCTTACAGCTAATCTAGATCTACCCTTTTTCATTTTAAAACCATTAGCCCTTGTCCTATCACCACAGTTGGCCTTGTTGAACTTCATGAGGTTCACACAAGCCCACCTCTCCAGCCTGTCAAAGTCCCTCTGGATGGCATCCCTTCCCTCCAGCGTGTTGACTGCACCACACAGCTTGATATCATGAATTATGCATCACTGTCACTTAAAGTGGTGAGATAAAGAATTTACTGAATAAGTATAAAGCCATCTAAGACAATGAGGGCAGCACGCTGAAAAGGGGAATATGTCTTTCAGAGTATATCTGCTTTATTTTTGTGGACATTTGGCTGGCTGTGTTAATCCTCCTGGACCCATATTCTAACACATAAACGCTTTAACTCTTTTACAGTTTTTACATGTTGTAATTTGCTCTGTTTCGTTTTGCTGTCTCACATATCTCAGTGCTTCGAAACAATCATGTATATTCATCTTGAAGGACACGCATCGATGGTGTCTTTGTGAAGTCCTCTCATTTCCCTTGGAAATCATGCTTCCTGGCACTCAGCATTTAACACTTTTAATGAAGTTCATAAGTTCTTAGCATTCTATTAATTAAGTAGCATGCTATAGATGTTGGGATGTGTACAGTTTGTATGATTTTGTTTTAATGTTTACAGGTGTCGAACAGAGTATGAAAACAGAGATGAAGCTACCAAAGGAGATGAGACTACCCGAAAACAATTTCATGCCTTTGTGCTGTTCTTAGCTGAACTTTACCTTAACCTAGAGGTAAGAAGAAAGTTGCATGTCAGGTGGTTCTTCATTAATTTTTTGCTGTGTTTAGGTAAACACTGAAATGGAATACAATTTGAGGTGTTTTTATAAAGAGAGAGCAGAATAAAAGAGCTTTAGAGCAGTTTTATTATAAGGTGTGTCCAAGAAACAAGATAAACAAAAAAGAACAAGATCATTGGAAGTGTATAAAGATTTAAAAGAAAAGTGTAAGAATTCATAAAACAAACCAGCCATAAACCACCTTTGGAATGCAGCTTTTGGTACTTCCTTTTGATTGGCACAACCCCCAGATGACTACACTTAACCCACATAGGAAATGTTACAACCTAGTACAAGCAGATCAGGATCAATAGCGCATGTAATTCAGTATTTAGCCACTAATAGGAGCTATTATCAAATCCTTGAGGAAGGTGTAGAAATCCTTAAAATGAGAAATTAAAAGTGCAGACCTTCAAAGACCTATTTCTTCTGAAGGTTGAGTCATTGGCTTATGCATGAAGCATGAAATCTTGTATTTAGATGGGTTTTGTTAGCTGTGGTATATACAGAGATGGGTATGTACACATAAATCTTTGGCCCTTACACCTGTGAGTTCAATAAGTTCATTATCTGCTGTACTGTACATATAAACATATTTTTGACTGGATTATTTCAACGCTTTGATTGAAGCAGACACTATAAAAATGTTCTGATGGCATGAATAAAAAATAATTCTCTGACTTTTCCATTTTTGTTCATAAGTGGTCTGTGAAATCTGCTTTTCACTTGCTGGCAGTAGAAAAGAAGATATTAAAAGGTCTTGGGGGTGGGGGAGTTGTCCAGTTCTGTGGAGTATACCATTTATTTTAAAACCATTTTCTTTAATTTTTTAAATGCACAAAGAGTACCTACTAGAAGTAAGCCACTTCAGCTGTAGAGAATATATAGTGTAATATGGGAAAGAACATGGGGTTCTGGGAATTTGGGATTTTGTGGACCATTTTCCTGTCATTTGGCAGCTTTTCTGAGCAATTTATTATCAAAGAAACAAAATGCTAGACTTGCTTTGTTATGTATATGTCATAATCGTAAGGATATTACTCAAAGTCTGTTTAAAATAATTACAGTGTTTGGCATGTTCTTCCAACTAAAGAGCTCAACTATGTTGATTACAAACCAAATCATCCAGCATACAAGAGAGAAAAATGTGACTAAATAAATTTCTAAAACTTAAGTCTTTTAAATTTTTTTTTGTATATATTTTGCAGATTAAAGGAACAAAGGGACAAGTAATGCGAGCAGAAATCCTTCAAGAAGGTCTTCGGGAATTACTGAATGCACTCTTCTCTAATCCTGTGGACAGTAATTTGATATGTGCAGTGAAACTGCTGAAGGTGAGATTTTTTCAAAGGAAAAAAAAAATCAAGTTTTTCAAACTTCCTACCTTTGGTAGCAGTGGGGAAACTGCAAATGAGGAAGTGTTTATAGGGTTTCATGCATTACATCATTAGAAGAGCAAGCTGTAATTTTTTTTTTTTCCTTAGTACCATTATGAAATTAAGCCAATAAAAAAGTAACGTACTGCTTTAAAAGTAAAATGCAAGACCATTTATGTACATACAAGAGGAGTAGAACTGAAGCCAAGGTGCAAAGAAGTCAGCAGTCTCTTCAGGTCTCTTTTTGCTGCTTCTGGTGTGGGAGAACAGTAACCAGCTTGAAGGAATTGTGGGGGTTTATGTATGGTCTTTGTTCTGAAGGACACTCAACTGTTAGGGTCTAGCACTTTTCGTGGCAAAAGGTTCTGATATCAGTTATTTCATACTGTATTTTCTTTATCATTACTACTGTAGAAATACATATATTTCTCTTTAATGATGAAAACAAACCTCTTTGCTTTTAAGTTTTTCTTTTAAAAATTGTTAGCCTCTGTGCAGGGAGAAACTTATCTTCACTAGCCATGATTGTACTCATAGTTGGGAACACACAGGTTATTTCAAGAATGGAGGTTAAAAGCGAAACGGTATTCTTCTGGAGTTTTGCTTCTGTTTTTTTGTGGTTGATTGTTTGTTTTTCCTCATTCTTCCCCCTCCCTCTCCACTATATTTAAAACTCACTATCTCGAATTCCAAATCTGGCAGGTTCTTTTGGTATGGTGAATAGGGAACAGGGAAGAGAGATTTTACATCTTCCCATTTAAACACTTCATTTGAAGTCTGGATGTTTTAGCAGGTTGCTTCATAGCAAGTGTGAGGTTGTGTTCAACAAGCGCATTCGCTCCTGTGGTCAGTCCCTGAGTTGGTAGTGCTACCTTGAGGCAAGGCCCACTGAAGGACCTTTCAAAACAGCAGTATACAAATTGGGAAGATTGCCACTGCTGCTTCTCCAAAGAAGATAGAGGTCTCACTATTTCTGTGGATATTCTTGGAATATTTATTTGACTTCACAGCATCCATTCTCAATTAAAAGACAGCGATCTAAATTATTATATGACACACTGATAAATCTAAAATGTGTTTGATGTGGTTTGGGCCTGGTTGGCAGCCAGCCACAATGCAGCAGCTCTCTCTCCCTTCCCCTCCGGCAACGAGAAGGGACAGAGAGCCAGGCTTGGGGTCCGAGATAGGACTGGGATGGGGAGAAAATTCCCCTTTATGATCACGAGCAAAAGGCAGACTCGTTAGGGGAAGAAAAAAAGAACATACATTTATTACAGACACTAACAACACATAACAGAGTAGGACAGTGAGAAGCATTGCCACATCTTGAGAACACCTTCCCCCCACCCCTCCCTTCTTCCCGGGCTCAGCTCTGCTCCCGATATCTCTACCTCCTCTCCCAGTGGCGCAGGGGCAGGGAATGGGGGGTGCAGTCAGCGTTGCCACTTCCCTTATCTTCGGTGAGGGGAGTGTCCGGAACTTGTTCCTCCTGCTCCATCGTGGTCCCCCTGTCACAGGAGACAGTCCTCCACAAACTTTCTCCGACATGAGTTCCTCCCATGGGCCGCAGCGTTCCCCACACTGCTCCGTCATGGGTCACTAACTTCCTCCGACAGGATTCCCTCCCACGGCTGCAGCCCTTCCCGAGTTGCTCTGGCGTGGGACTCCCCCGCATGCTGCAATCCTCCCAGTGCTGAATTACAGCAGTGGGGCTACCTTTTCCCATGAGACCCCGGCCTTCTTCGGGCATAGAACCTTGATCATGCAAGCAGGAGCAACAGGCCGTAAATCAATGTCTGCTCCACTGTAGATCTTCATGGGTGGCAGGGGGGGCCGCCCTGCCGTCTCACCACAGGATACAGGGGGGTCTCTGCTCCGGCACACCTCCCCCCTCCTTTCTTCCTCCGTTCCTCCACTGACCTTGGTGTTCACGCAGCTGCAGTAGCTCCTCCTCACAAGTCCCACTGCCCGTCACCACGTCCCTTCTTAAATACGTTATCGCAGAGGTGCAGCTGATTGGCTCAATTTCCCAAACAGAAGTGGAGCTGATGTGGAGCTGGGGGAGCTTCGAGAAGCTTCTCACAGGGGGCCGCCCCGATAGCCCCCTCCCCTGCCACCAAAAAACTCCACCACTCACTCAACCCAGAACAGTGTTGAAAAACAGAGATTTTTTTTATTTTTAAATGCAAGTGGTTTTGGATGACTTATAGTATATCTTCAAATGTTGCAGTATATCTGTAGCAGTGATAGATACAGGTTTTTCACCTGTTTGATTTGTAATATGTTTATTTTTAATTAAACCTTCTTGGTGCTATTACTGAGGATCAGGGTAGGACAGCAGTAGAAAATTGGGAATACCAAACAAGTGCTGACTACAATGCTTGCTTTTATCTTTTCATTTTATTCCTTTGTATCATCAGGTGCCATTCCAGGCATTTTAGGTCATGTAATATTTATGCTGATTAGATCACAAATTGCTATTAACTTTGATCATAGTGGCAACTATTTTTTTATGATTTAACTCTTACTGTGCAACTGCTGAGCAGTGAAGTACCTATTCTTAACATAAAATGCTTTCATCCACAGCAGTTCTAGACAGTTATCTCTCAGCAGCAGCTTCAGCCTCTTGGGTTTTATGTATTAAAATTGAGGCTGGCTTGGTCAGATAATTCTTGGTTCCTTTCATATATACCCAGATGAAATTCTCTGGCATGTCTGATGCTAGCTAAGTTGACTGAAGTGTTTCTAAAGTTTATAAAACTATTATTCTCAGGTAAGCTGGTGGCATCATCTGCAAAAACAAGGTCTTTTTTTTATAGCATGTACTTAAATAAGATCTGACAAATGTCACTGAAGAATTGTGTCAAAATCATATTTTGAGACTGAAAGGTGAGAGGTGGCTGTGAACTTCTAGGAAACATAAAAATGGGACATAGAGCTATCATACTGTCTGTAATCTAAAATAAACTGTTTACAACGTCTGTTAATCTATTTAGCAAAAAGACATAGGCAATTGGGAGCTTCAGCACTCAGTCACACAGTATATCTAAACGTAATGAATTGTTACAGAATGCCTTCTGTTTACAATTTATTAAAGTTTTGTAATTTTCTTAAAAAAACAAACAAACAAACAAACAAAAAACCCCACAACTAACTCCTTGTCTTTAGTTGACAGGCTCAGTTTTAGAAGATGCCTGGAAAGAAAAAGGAAAGAATGATATGGAGGAAATGATTCAGAGAATTGAAAATGTTGTGTTGGATGCAAACTGTAGCAGGTGAGAAGATAAATTTATATGCCTTAATAATATTCAAGAATAATGAACATGTTCAAAACATTATCTTAAAAACTTTTATGAAAAGTAAGGTGATGTTTGGTTCACTTCCCATGTTAAAAAAAAAAAAAAAATGTATTTTTCAGTTGAAGGGGTTTGGGGCTTGGTTTTGGTTTTTTTTTTTTTCATTTTTGTATTTTATCTTTCAATAGAGATGCATGTTCCACTCTTAATGGTTTTTTTTTAACCTTTTAGGTCTTGAAATCTTTCATAAGTGCTTTAAGTTCTAAGGGCAAGTATATATACAGATACAATAGTGGCAGTATCTCATTGTTTATACATTTAAATCTGAATTTAACAGTATTAAATATATACAAACAGTATTAAATATGTAACTATTAAATATATACAAATCATTATAAGTGCAAAGGCAAAAAGGAATGTTCTTTTTGTGTTTTGTTTTTTTTTCTGGAGAGTATGCCTTTTTGTCAGGGTCTTACTGCAGTCTGGAAAAAAATGAGTGGTTGGCTAATGTATCCTGCTTCTCAGTTTGCAATCGACTGAATGTATGAGGTTATCTGATTCTTCTGTACCTCATCCTCAGCTTCTTGCAAATTTACGAAAAACCTGTAGAGAGGGTTCGGACACTGTGACCTGATCTCTTGCCATATAGAGGGAGGCCAACAGGTAGCTCATAGCATCTGTGGGTTGGAATTGAGCTGCTCGCAGGAAGGGTGTGGAAAATTTTGCTTCAGGAACCAGAGAAAATAGATAGCGCAAGCTGAGGCTTCAAAGATACAGAAGCACAAACTTATTATAATAGAGAAAACAACTGAAGATTTTATTTATTTATTTCATTATTGCTCGGTGAGACTCTTCTTCCTGGACTTGCTGAAAAGAAGAAAGCAATTTCTCTTACTTTAGGGATGGAATGGGTGGTGGTATCTAAGTAATGTCTCCAATACTTCTCACTGTTGACCACAGAATTTCAGTGTCATTAAGAAGATTAAAGTTAGGAGCATAAATTAAATTATTAAAATACAATTTGAAGATCATCACCCTGTTTTGCCCAGTACTGTCTTTATCAGAAAAGGATTTGTTCCTCAACTTGTGCTGCAAGTTTGGTATCTTGATAAAAACTATAGCAATTTCAATTTCATATGGGCTCCTTACTTTACCACAGAGGATATTGAGAGGGTGAATATCTCATAATCGCCACATAAAGCATCTAGACTTGCAGGGGGAAAAATTAACACAAAATTATCTGCAAACTGGAGCAAATTTTGTCTGGGTTAGAGCTTTTCAGGGAGGATTTAACTATCTAGTATTTGCAAGATAAGAGAAGCCCCATTTCTTGCTTAGCACAAAATATTCTAACTTTTGTAGTGCTTCTCTTTATTTCAGAGATGTGAAACATACGCTTCTGAAACTAGTAGAACTGCGATCAAGTAACTGGGGTAGAGTTCATGGAACTACTCCACATACAGAAGCTACCCCTGAAAATGACCCAAACTATTTTATGGTAAGAATTTATGGATACTTCAGTTCCTTAATTTAATGTGAATTTAATTTGATTCATAGACAATCACATTGCTGAAAACTACAAGAACTACTAACTTTCTGTATAACTTTATTCTTAGAATGAGCCAACGTTTTACACTTCTGATGGTGTTCCTTTCACTGCAGCAGATCCAGGTATGTCACAGTCTTAGAGTACCTGTCTTCTCAATCTTCTTTAAAAAGTTGTAATAAAGTTTATGTCCCACTGAAGTACATTAAAAGTTGTTCCTCAAACATCTTAGACATCATTTTGGTTTCTAAGTTGTATGAGTTTAAATTCCTGGCTTTGTGTAACACATGCCTTATTCTACATTAAAAGAAGGTAAATGTTTGAAATGGAGAGTATGTATTTGAGTTCATATAGTCCAGAGGAATTTGTGTCATGGTCCTCAGCACTTGGTCTTTCCAAGAACCCAGAAATCTTAAAGTCTTCTTTTGCTTGTCCATTGTCAGTAGCAAAAGGGTTTGTTTCTTCCTTGGTTTCTTTGTTTTTTGTAATCTGAGCACAACGTGGCATGACATCATTTGAGGTAAAGACATCTGTGACTACCTTTACGGTTCTCTGGGAAGATCAGCATCATTCTTAGAGGTCGATTGATGTCCTTAGAAAACACTGTAGCAGGAGTTTTTTCTATAATATGTTTCATGCCATATATGGTTTCATTAAATAGGCTATTTTCAAACTGTATAGATGTATGTTAATTTAGAGGACTAGTCTTACTTAGTCTTATTTTTACTTTGCCAGATTACCAAGAAAAGTACCAAGAGCTGCTTGAAAGAGAGGATTTGTTTCCAGATTATGAGGAAAATGGAACAGACCTATCTGGACCTGGAGAGCTGTATGTTTTCTTTTTCAGTAATAGTTTTTTTCAATACTAGTTATTTTTAGTGTAGACTTAGGAATCCAATCTTGACAAAAATTAAACTAAATAATGTAGTTACTATATAGCTCTACAATGGGAGTTATGTATTTGTTTGGGTGTAAGTTGGTTTGTAATCACACAAGTTTGAAACAAATTTTATATTAATGCAACTGAGTAGGGTAATTAAATTTCAGATATTTATGAACATGTACAATCATACTATCTTCTCCATTAAAAAAAAAAAATAATTTGCAAGCAAAGTGAAGCACCAGGCCTTGAAGAACTGGTAGTGAGGCAAGCTGAATTCATTTGACTGATGCACATACACATCCCAGCTAGAGATGATTACAAAACTTTCAGAGCCGTTTAATGCAGGAGGTCATTAAGTTTCTCTCCTCAGGATAGGTAGTATTCCCCTCATTAAATGGCTATTCAGTAACAAGAAAAGTAACCTAATGGCAAAGGTGGAAGCAATGGATGGAAATGTAGTCTGACTTTCTGACACCAGTTTTTAAGAATTTAGTAGGAAACCAGAAGAAGTACAGTATAAAACTAATTGCTCTGAGCTTTGTATGCACCTGACTGAAGGAGTACTTTCAGATCACAATTCAATACCTAAAGAACATTTTCAGTGTTGAGTTTATGTGTGATAACAGTGCTGGCCTGGATCAATATTTTTATTAGTAAATTAGGAAACTTTGAGATCATGACTAGCTGAGGGACGTGGCAGGAACTTTGGAAGATAAATTACAGGTGTCATGAGAAATTAAGAAGCTCATACTGAGGGGAAAAAAATACCCATGTGAACCTCTGTTTAGAAGAACAAATTCAATGCAAAATGGAGTCAGGCAGCCATTAAAAAATACAGAAAATCCAGAGAGTGACATGTGGAAGACACTGAGTCAACCTTCATGCAAGGTGACTGTGGAACCTTCTTTGTTGAAGGCTTAAGAAAAGCTTAGACAAATGCTAATCCTCTGTCAGCTCTTTCTCATGACTGTCATCAGGGAGAAGGGTTCTGTCTTGAGTCCCTTCTTAAGTCTACACTCTACAAGAAAGAAGGAACAAATAAAATACTTAGACTGCTTCTTCGATTCACAATTCTGAAGAAAAAATACTTTCCTTATGCGTTTCTGTGGCACTCTGCTGTGGTTTTGTGTAAAACATACCATTTATGGCCTCTGTGCAGATAAGACATGATGATTCCCTTGTCCGGAACTAAGGCACGGAAGTTAATAAAGTGAGCACCTGAAATTAATGCACTTTTTGAGAGTCAGTAGCTGCTGACATTTTTTTTTAAGGCTGTTTAGAATTATATATACTATCATGTTCACACTGTAACTCTGTTGTCCTAGTTGATGGTGATGAACACTCCAGCTGGACCTAGAAAAAACAAGGAACACTCAAGTTACTTTCCAGTAATTCCAGGCAGAAAGAAAGCTGAAGTGATCCTCATCACTTCCCAGCTTTATTTTGAAACTCAGTGGTAGTCTGCACTCTGTGCAATACTTACAATCATTATTGGAATCCAGTATTTTCTGTCACCTATATAAGACAGATCTTTTCCGAAAGACTCATTACCATATAATAGAAGGTAGTATAATGCAGGTGCAAAAGGGAGGTGATTGAAGGTTGCCTTCTTTCATGTATCAACAAATAGGAATTCAGGTTTTCTATACAAATATATTCTTCAACTAGTGTGCAACCAAGACAGCTGATGCAGTATTTGAACTAGGCTGTTAACAAACCAAAAGTTATGGTAATATGATGCTAATTATGTTTTTTGAAAGTAGATCGGTACAGATGCATTATTAAATTTTGGGAAGCTTGGACTGCATTATTGCATTTTCTATCATCTCGGCTACTATTTCTGTCTTTTAGTCGACAGCATAAGATGATCTAAAATGGTGACAAACACTGTAGCCATTTGTACATATCGGTGCTGCTTTGAGGTTTCTGTTTATCTGTTTTCCTAGTACACAGGATTTTTTCCCTCTTCATCCCATTTCAGAAAATGTCATGGTTAACTGTTATTTTTCTGTTTTATTCATGGCATCTACATAAATGTTTCTGAAAATCTGTACATAAACTTAACATCTTCGGTGATTTTTTATTTTTTAAGGTATTTTGATGACATTGATGACGAGATGGATCCAGAAATTGAAGAAGCATATGAAAAATTCTGTCTAGAATCTGAACATAAGAGAAAACAGTGAGATGTTGCACATTAATGTTAGTTTATTAAGCCAGTTTAGGCATGGTTAGAATACAGAGGGACACAAAATATGTGTACCAAAAGAAGGAACTCGAGTTTCTCCAAGTACTAAAGTTATACAATTTCCATTTTGTTTAACAGAATCTGCTAAAAATTGTAAACTTAAACCCTGTAACTTAAACCATTGTGTATATATCATAGTTTATTTTATGTACAGGTATATGAACAATGTTTTGGCTGCAATTAAAATTATTTTTAAATTATCATAATTGAAATAAAATTTAATGGGGAACTGTCCCATCAAATTTCCTTTGAGAGTGAAAGGGGAAGAATAACTTGATTTAAATTTAATTGCTTGCTTGCTTGTTTTGGTATATATTGGAATTTACTTATTCTTTTTACCTTATACAAGATGTCAGGATATCTGGGTTTTGGTTTTTTTTTGTTGGTGGGTTTTGTTTTGGTTTGTTTTTTTTCCTAAGGAGAGTATGATTCAAATAGGGATTTTTTTTTTTTTTTTCTTGTAGATCCCAATCACGAGAAGTGGTTTGTGAAAGTTTCGTTTTGTGGGGTTTTTTTTGTTTTATTTCCTTTTTCTTCCTCTCCCAAAACCCATATAAGCGAGGTCCGGAATTTTTTTTCTGGGATAACATGTATGTTGGTATGTGAAAAAGCAAGCAGTATTTCAGAAGTTGTGTGCTTTCAAGATCTTTCGTTCAGATAAGCTTGTTTTCAACTTTTACAAGCAACCTTTAGTTTGTTGTGTTCTTCAGGAGTATATGAATATAGTTACATTTAACCCATGCTTCTTAAGGGTATGTGCAGTGCTTGGGCTTTGAGGGTTTTTTGGTTTTGTTTTTTTTTAATGTATCTAACATGTCTAACCTTCCAGCAACCCTTGTAACTTTCTCCATTCTAATTTTATATAGTTTGATTTAATTTTGTAGTTGGGGTAAATTCATATATTTCATAAATGTTAACGTTCTGAAGCCAACTGTTCTTTTTTGACCCCATACAATCATGTTAGTTTTCCTAGAATACTTCATCGTTGTTGCCAAACTCAGTTGTACTGTTTTCTGTTACTGGTTAGACTGAGTAGAACTCCTTACCAAAAACAAATGGAGATATTTTCCAAGTTAGCTACTATAAAGAACACATGTTGTAAATATGCATGTAAATAATTCTGTTAATATTTCACTGTTATTTGTTGGGTTAAATAACTTGTGCATCTGCTAATAGAGTGAGCACTGACTGTTTTCTGGATGTTTATTTAACATACTTATTTAGGTTGGAGTTTTGGAAAATAAAATCTAACTAGCTTTGTTTCCTTTGGTATAATTTCACTACCTTGTCTTTTTGCTTTAAAAAAGAAAAAAATGGTGTTTTGCCCTTCTTCTATCTCCCCTTCAGCTAACAATCCTTTTTTTTTTTTTCTTTAAAATACACACTTGTAAAGAGTATTATCTTTTAAAATTCATGGGAAAAATAAAATTGTATCAGAGGGCAGTATGGTGATAAGAACAATAATAGCATTTCAAAGTCTCTAGACTAAAATCCAGAAACTAGAAAAGTGAAAATTGAATTAGGTTATTTTCACATTCTCTAACATTGGGTATTTTTCATACAAAACTTTTATTCCAAATACAGGCCAGACTTCTTGCTGACTTTACAAGCAGGTGTCTTGTGGAAAACATATTTACTCAAAACTTACAGTCCCAAGGAAGAAGCATTCATATATGCATTATAGTAAAATAATAGCATTTTCAAGGGACTCCACTTTACGTTTTAGTTTTTAATCTTTTGTAGTGTGTCTTTTTTTCTGTAAAGCAGCTGTCAGACTCCAGATGTATACTCTTGTTATCTTGAGGAGACATTATGTCTTACATGTAGGTAAGAAACATGCCGAGTCCTGTACAAAAATGTTGGGAACTAGGAATTGTGTATATGAAGCAATTCAAAACAGGGTTTGCAAAATAAGCTTTGTCCTCCACCAGAAATACTGAAAAATCATAAAGCAAGACTTTTGTTCAAAGTAGTGGAGAAGTTTGTGTTCTTTGAATACAAAGCTTTGCAAGAGCTTTAACCCTGCACTGCAGTAAGGAAAAATTGTTTAAACTCTGTCCTACTGAGTAAGAAAGAATCTTTGCCTTAAACACAACAATCTTTCCTACTTCATCTTAAATCTTACAGAAGTCTAATACAAATTAGTGATGGTGAAATGAGATGTGAGAGAGCAAAAGAAAGCAGCAGGTTTTGCACTGTCATAATCACCATTTGCTGCTTGTCTGCACACTTTTAACTTCTGATAGTTTTGTGTATGATAGAGACGAGTCTTGAGATGTTTAAAGATCATGTCATCTGGATTTTAGCACCTATACATTTCAAGCGCACTGTGCAAAAGTGTATTTCATCTACAAGTTTCTGAACAATACCTTGCAGATAAACAGCCCTTTAAAAAGTTGTATTTTCTTTGTGGCATAATGGTAAGGCAGTGAAAGCAAAGAAGCATGGAAAGCAAACTGGGGAGATGTGAAGCAAACCTCTTCAGCACTAGTTCTGAAAGGAAACATACTTTGCATTCAAATTCAAGCACATGGCCAAGCTTCACGCAACAGAAAATGTATGCACAATATTTGCCACTCTTGACAGATGAATTGTGATTTAACAAAAATGCTTAATTGAAAATCACACTTTGCTTAAAGTAATTTAAAACCGAGCTCTAAGAGGTGTTGCTTTGCATGTACTTTGCTTTTGAATGAGAGTTACATATTCGGAAATTAAGTCAACTTTTTCCAACTGGTTTCCTTTCAAATTTGCAAGAACTCCTCACTACTTGTGGCTTTTTTTTTTTTTTTTAGGAAAACAGTTAGTCACTGGGTTTTCGCATGTTGGTTCTCAGTGTAATTGCAGCACTACAGAAAGAAGCAAGACTAGCTCAACTACATCAAGTATCACAAATTATGCATACATGGGATTTTTTTTTTAATTGAATAATTCATTATGGTGAGGCGCGGAATCACGACTTTACAACCAGTAAGGTTATGAAGAAGCTATGTTTATTCAGCGCTGGGCACACGGGGGATGATGCCACCACAGAAGTGCGCCACCTGGAGTGGGAAAACAGCCCCTTATTATTGCTTAAAAACGTTACATATTCACTAATTCTAATACATATGCATCACTACTCCAATAATAGGGAGGGAATATTATAATTAGTTCAGAGAATCATTAACATATCCCCCCACCCCAAATTCCTCCCGTCGCGCTTGCACAGTGCTCCCTGGTGGTTGTGGGCAGGGGTTCAGATGAAGGCTCATAGTCTTCTTCACGGTGTTCGGTGTTCGCTAGCTGACCCTTACTTATGCGCCAACTCAGTCCTGTGGTCACGTACACCTTGTCCTTCAAGTCTGGGATAATTTGCAGCTCCTTTGTCTTTATGGGTCAGTGGTTTTAGTTCCTCTCTTATCTCAAGGACAAGAGATACCAGAGATGGCCCACCCTGTCTTCCTTCCATTCAATCACAAGGGAGTTACCGTCCTTTGATGTGGACCATCAATGGCCCATCTTGTTCTTTCTCATTCCATTGCAAAGGAGTTACCATCCTTTGATGGAGGCCATCTGGTGAGCATCCCAAGAAGGGGGGGCTATGGGGTTAGTGTGAGCATCCCCTGAAAGGGGGGGCTGTCGGGTTAGTGTTTCCTCAGATCAATGGCACTGCATATTAGTGGCATTACTGGTTTGTAACAGCCATCCTTATTTCTCTCTGGGACAGTACTTTCTTGAACTCATTCAACTGTCAATAGCTCAAGTTTACAACTTCTCTCAGACTGAATTACAGTTCTAATCATCCAGCCTGTGGATCCGAGTGGCTGATACAGGAACATAAAATGACATTGTGGCCAAAAGTCAGGGATGATACTGCACTGTTTGTGAATTGCTGATTTACCACCTCTACCTCAGCCTGCGTAACCTAATTCCACAGTTCCTGCGCTGAGGGTTCTGACCATGGCAGTGAAGTTGCCAGTGAAATACAATGCATAGTCCATAAAAAATAATAATAAAGGATTCATAATTCAGATACATAGTTTGAAGCTTGCTTCTGGCAAGTACTATGCATGATAATTTAAAAGGGTATTGCAAATAGATATATTTTGATGCATGGCTTTGTCTGCAGCCACTTGTCTGGATGTTGACTCTATGCTTTTGATGAGACAGTGGTTGTAGAAGATAGGGAGTTGTACTGAATGCAGTTCCTCCATGATTGCATATTGCTCTGTCTGAGAAATCGGTACCTCCACAGGTAAGGAACAGCTGTTACAGCTAGATGAGACCATGTGCTCTAGCATGGCCTCTAGATCAAAGGATCTTAAGTTACAGTTGCTTAGTGCTTTAAGCAGGAACTGATAATAAATTGTCACTTCACTGTAAACTGCCATCTGTTGTCCAAAAAACCTGGGTTCTTTTATCCAGTGTGCAATGAGCCAAAAAACAGTCGAGGTATTTGTTTAATCTGTGCCTGTGCAGAGATGGGTGCCAGGTAGTGATTCCGTCAAGCCAGCAGGCCGCACACAGGCAGGTGACCTAGTTACACACTTCCAACTGCACAAACAATGCACGTTTAATGTCACCACCGTTGGTTGTTTTCTTACCCCTTTGCTCCTCACGGGTTAACAACATGCCTTGTCTCCCTCACAAACTCAAAGAGTGGGGGTCTTAACCTGAGTCGGGGCTTTACCTGATTGTTATAGGTAGTTTAAGGAAAATCACATCCAAATATGGATTAATGAATCTTTATTAAGGTAAGAGAGCAAATGCAGCGGTGGTGTGGCCGAGGAGGGGAGGCAGCTCCGTCCAGGCTCACCAAATTGTTCAAGTTTCAAACCCCCTTTTATCCACACAGCTGCCAGTTTCAACACCTTCGGCACGCCTCCTGTCTCCTTCTACAATCTTATCTTCTTTCTTCAGTCCTGTGCTCACTACACCTTGTCCTTCAAGTCTGGGCCAATTTGCAGCTCCTTTGTCTTTTATGGCTCAGTGGTTTCAGTTCCTCTCTTATCTCAAGGACAAGGGATACCAGAGATGGCCCATTCTGTTCTTTCTCATTCCATTGCAAAGGAGTTACCACCCTTTGATATGGACCATTTGGTGAGCATCCCAAGAAAGGGGGGGCTGTTGGGTTGGTGTTTCCTCAGATCAGTTCCCCCCTTTTCTTTTCCCAGTAGTAAAGTCTTTTCTTAAAATTTGGATCATTGTACTAATAATAGCTTTAGCCTAAGAAGTAATTGTTTAATTACTTTTAGCGAAAGCAAAATTCTTCTATTATTTATCACATGATCAAGAGGTGTGGTTTCCACACTATAATGAGCTAAATTCATCTGAAGGACACAACTTGGGCAGTCTATGGTATCTCTGAGCACATGACCAAGGAAAGTTTCATTGTTCCTCCATCCAAGGTTCCATCTGTTTTGCAAGGCTCTACTATTCTTGAGCCTATCATCACCTCCCAGAATGTTTCCTTTTGCATTTGCTTTCATCAAATCCACCTAAAACATCTTTCATTAAACTGTGACTATGGGGGGTGACGGGCAGACGGACACGACAGTATGGTACCCTCCAAAAAGTCAAGTAGGCATAAATTTTTAATTGGCCTTTGGGAAACTAATCTTCCAGCTTATCCGGCTAGGGCTTCCACCACCCAGTTGTAAGTAGAGGGGTATCTGTCACATTTCGGCGCCCTGCGAGCGCATGAACGTCAGGCGGCACCGCAAGAGAACCGTGTACGGGTGATCTGCCGGTGGGGTCACCTGCGGAGCGCCCGCCCGCCCTCCCGGCGCCGGCCCTCCGCCCGCTCCTCGCTCCCCAGAGCTGCCCGGCGGCACGGCCGGCGCCGTCCCGCGTGGGGAGGCGGCGGGGGCCGTGGGCTGGTGCTGCTGCCGCAGGCGTCCGAGTGGCCGTGCTCTGTGTCACGGCACCTGCTGAACGGTGTGTATCTTAACAAAGAGGCGCAATTACAAAAAAAACGGGGTTTAGGTTTGTTTGTTTGTTTTGTTTTGTTTTGTTTTGTTTTTCCTACAAGTCTAGGTCTTTGCACTGCTAGTTTTCATTTCTGGAGCAGCAAAAAAAGACACCTCTATTTCCAGCAGGCAAAAACTCAAAAGGAAAAAAAAAAAAAAAAAAGCCGAAATAAAAAGACACGGTGTGCATTCCCACCCAGCTTGTCGCACAAACGCGTGGGTACGCCAGCCCGCATTTCCCACCCGACCCCCACCCGCAGGGGGGTGGCGCGAACCTCAGTCCACGGGCCCCCGGCCTGGAGGGGCGGGGCCTCGTCCGCCCCGCCCCGCCTCGCCCTTCCCGCCGGGCGGGGCCCTGCCGCGGCCATGGCGGCGGAGACGCTGATGGTGCTGTACGGGGACGGCTCGGTGGAGGTGCGGTACGCCGGGGGGTCCCGCTTGCTGCTGTCCCCCTGCGGCTGCGAGTACCTGCTGGAAGCGGCGCGCCCCGCCGCTGCCCACCCCCTGCAGCCGGCGGAGACCGCCCGCCAGCGGGTCGCCTTCGTTGTCAGCGCCTACCGGGTACGCGGCGGGCGGGCGCGGCCAGGCCCGCGGAGAGCGGGGCCGAGGAGGGCCGGGCGTGGGGTTGGCCGCGGGCTCGGGGGCCGGGGCTGCCCCTCGGAGGGGAGCGGGGAGCGGCCGGCTTCCCCTCAGGCGGGGCCCCGCAGCCCCTCAGCGGAAGCGAAATCGTTGCTCCTGTGCGTGAAATGGTGGGTGGAGGGGTGGGGGGTGGTCTCCTGGCCTCTGCTCCAGCGAAGAAAAGGATGAAAGCAGCTTAAAGTGTTACCGCCGCATAGAGAAGCGCACAAGGTAACAGCGTTTGTTTTTCATCACTCTTCGACAGGAAAAACTTCTGCGAGCTCTGGATTTCCGGAACAAGTTTTCTTCTCGCCCGTACTTACCTTCACATGTTCTACCTCCTGAAAGAAAAAAGGTGAGAGGCACGCATGCCCTGCTTTTGTAAAACAGGCTTCCCCAGTAGTCTGATAAAGTGAACTTGCATGACTTTACACGCAGGTGTATGAGTACAGGCCTTCAAGATCAAGAGAGTAGTCTGGCTAATGCATTTGTCAGCTTGGTTAGAATGCTGCCGTTTTAAATTACAGTTTTAACTTAATCCTCTATTTATGCTTATCCTGTGTAGTTGAACACTAGAAAGAGTTCATTCACTCTTACTAAGACAAAAACCTAGGAATTTGTAAATGTGGTTTGAGCAAGTGGTTTTATGTATCTGTTGGAGAATGGCTCAGAGACAAGGGTCCTGAGCCCACCGAGCAGTTGTACGATCAGAGCCTGTTTTAGGGGCTGATGCTGGGCCTCACTAGGGTTTGCCTGCAGCTGCTCGCAGCTGCTGATACAGGAGGAATGTCAGGGACGCTTCAGCCCTGTGTACCGTGGTGTGTCGAAAACAGGTTAAGAGGAATTAGAAATAGTGGCATGAGAAGCTCGTGCTGTTAGCTAACTGCAAGTAGGTGGACCATACAAATACGACCTTTAGAGCTTAAGCTAATCAGCTAGTGACTAGTAGGCATAATAATTAGCGTTGTCTGTATAAATATATGTACCCTGGACCAATAAAGAGAGTATGACTTTCATCGCATCGGTGTGAGGTCTAACTCTGGTCTCGCCCCCTGTATGAGGTCCCTCCTACATGTATCGTCACTTTTCTGCACTTGAAAACTTTCAGGGAAGACTTGGTGAAATAGGACAGTGTTTTCCAAGAGGCTGTCAGGTTCAGAATCCTGTTTCCCCGCTGAGGTACCTGTGTGAGTATTGTGGTTTAAACCCAGCTGGCAGCAAAGCACCACACAGCCCTCCCCCACCCAGGGGTGGGGGAGAGAACTGGAGGGGTGAAGGTAAGGAGACTCACAGGTTGAGATAAAAACATTTTAATGCTTGAAATAAAACAGAATAACATTAATAGAAAATACAGACAGGTAATGCACAGTGCAACTGCTTGCCCACCAATGCCCAGGCCGTTCCCACCTAGCAATGCCAGAGAAGGGAAGGTCCCAAAACCGCAGTCCTGAGGAGTGTGAATACTCGTTTGCTAAGTTTGTTTCACACCTTATTTGCAAGAGTTTGCATTGCTGTGTTTATCTGGGATCCAGTGCTTTACCTGTAACCTTCAACTGACAGCAGACTAAAGATATTTTCTGTGCAGTGGTCGGGTATAAAGACAATACAATGGAGAATGAGTGGATGGCTAGAAAGGCATTCTCTGTTTTGACAGAATATTTATAGTTTCAGAAGGTGATTAGCGCATTTTCTGAACTATAACTACATCTTCTCTTTGGGCAAAGCTTTAATCCAGGGTTTGTGGTAGATGCAGTGCTTGTTTGGAGTAATTTGTTGAGAATCATCTGCTTCATTTTGTAGAAGGGGTAGCACAAGGGCATATGCTATGAAAATGTTTTATGTTTGCTTTGAACAAAAGTGCTAATTGAAGCAGCAATCCATATTTGAATATCACAGCACTAAGATGAAGCTATTCTTCTGAGACTTTCCAAATATATCGTAGAAGCCTAAAATCTTTATTAAATTAAGTTCTTCTTCAGAAATATGTTTTATCCACATCCTGGTAATAGCTATGTAACTTCAATTGTGGTGCTGCAGGATTAAGTAAGATTACCCACCTAGCTGCAAAACATTTTCAATAAATTTCCATTTTGGTAAGAACACATAAGTACATGTTACATGCCATTTTATGAGCTTATTTTAATTTTATATATAGAAAATATTTCAGAGCGCATGGGGTTTTAATGTACACAATTTTAATGTGGGCTTTGCATGAAGTTTACTGATAACTGATACGTAATTTAGGCTCTCTCTTCAGTGTTTCTTGAGTTGGAAGCACAACTCATCTACTCTCTGTGGGCAGTTGTGTCTGATCAGTTAGCCATGTACCTTAGTAGTTCATGAATGCATATTAAATTAAAACATTACTGCAAGGTAGCACTCTGTTAGAACAGGAGGAAGCGTATGTGAAGGTTAGATATTTTGCTTCATCTTGAGTTCATGTACACAAATAAATGCAGAGTAAAGTTTCTTGCCAAACATCACCTTGCACAAGGACTGAATTAATTTAAAAGTAAATCCTCCACTGTAATTTATGGGAAGCAGGTCATTTTTATTTTGCTGCACATTCCAATCCTTTTTCTTGTATTAAGATTCTTTTCAGTGATATCTTACAAATCAGATGGCCTGACCCTGCTACAGCTGAGCTGACAAGATGCATAGACAATGGCAGTGTGAGGATCTCGTCAGTAGATGGTTACGCTCACCTATACCTGTCAGAATTACAGCAAGAATTTACAGTGGAGTTCTTATGCAAAGTCAGCCAGTCATCTGCAGCATCCCTTCACTCCTCTCAAAAGAACAACAGCTATCAAACCAGAGATCAGTATGGAAAATCAAATAAAAATTCTGTTGCAGAAATGACACTGAAACAAATGAGAATAGAGGATAAAAACAATGAACGTGGTTGTGCCAAAGGTAAACAGAGAGAACCAACCAAACCACAGGACCAAAAGTACGGAGATGGAGTCCCTTTATTCTACTCAAATTGTTCTTCTGAATACACATGGGTTACACAGTGTTGGTCTGTTTCCTCCTACCCAGAAGAATGGAAATACCCTTTGTCGTTGGCACTAATGTGCTGTAACTTACATACTGGTAAGACGTGTGAGAGAAACAACCATACATCAACAGAAGCTGGTGTTTTAATGGACCCCGAAGCACTTGAAACAGTTTCTCATTTGCCTGCAGCTTTGCCACTCAGCTGCAGAGCCCCACACTTACACAGGTAATTTAAGCTGTTTGCTTTGTAGTTGTTAACATATGTTTTACAATTCTGCAGTCTGGAACTTCAACTTCCAGGAAAATTACTGCATTCCAGCTATAAAAATAAAAAAATTAGTCGCATCATTTTTTTTAGGAATTTCTTGAAACGTGAAATTTATGAAACTAACATTCTATATCCTGCTGTAATATGAATATATAGTAATTAGTCCACAGAAAAATACATTTTATTTTCTGACATGCTGTATAAATAGGAAAATGAAAAAAAAAAAGAATACTAAATAAAGAACACAGGTTTTGGGTTGGTTTGGGTTTTTTTCATTTTTGAGAAGACAGAACTTCAGAGGTGGGCCAGTGACATACGTTCTGTCAGCACCACTAAAAATAATTTTAGAAACACTTGCAGGTTTGGAAAAAACAATTTGGTAACTAATGTGGGTAACTAAGGAATCAGAGGACTCTGGAAAACATGGCCTCTTTTCCTTTGAATAGGTGTGCACGCATCTCTGTTGCTGGTGTGGAAATCAGTACCTGCACACAAAAAGAAAAACCCTGACCTTCAGACTTGCTGAAGCTTTCATTGTATTTTGTACAGGTGGACTTTCTGTGACTTCTTTCAGAACCAAGATACTGAAAAATATTCATGCCCTCAGCTAATTCAAATTGTATGGTGCCAGGGTGTATTTTATAGGTATGTAAGAGATGATAAATTTCATGTTTGGAAGACCTAATTTTTATGGGAATTAAGCCTTATTATGAGATTTCTTACTTTGTTCCTTTCTCACTCTTTGAGAAATTGTACACAGTCTTCATGTAGGAATCTGTTCATTTCTCCTGTTTGTTCATCAGACTTCAGATTCCTAGTACAGTGTATTTCAAGGTCTGAAAGTGGGTATGTCTGAAATAATCTGAAATCATGTTAGAGGCTTTTAAAGAAGTGATCTGATTATCTAATTTCTTAAAGGTTTACTGGACACCTGGAGCTCCCACAGACTTTACTGATACTTACAGTGTTGGTTTCTTTGCAAAGTACATTGCTCCTTTTGATGCTGCAGATTTCATGCTTTAGAAACGTTTGGTTTAGTGACCTACATAATATGCATGTTGAAGGCAGCTGAACTACTGTTGATTTTCCTGGAAAATCAGCATGTCCATATGGTTTAAAGACAAAACAAAAAAAAAAAAAGACCCATAAACTTTTTCTAAAAGAGCCCTTTCAAATCTATTATACAAACTTTGAAAATGCTACAGTTGCTATTAACATATGAAAGTATTTGATAAAAGCTTAATCAGTCTTTAAAGCTTTAACCTTTTTGCTTGGTGTTCTTCATTTTTCTCAGTGTAATTCCTAAATTTTCATCTTATCTGAACAAAATGGTTAGCAGCTCTTCAGTACTATACCACATTTATTTGGCAATATGGTCAGTAGCCATACTAGTCCTATAAGTCCCATTGCCAAAGTCCAGACATCTAACCACAGAGTTGCATAATTGGGTCATTAAATGGTTTTGGGGCTCCAAAATACTGTATGATCACAAGTAAAAGACCATTGGTCGTAGTAAAGAACACAGCTGCAGTGGAAATGAAGACTTTCAGGTTGTTCAGGAATTGTTCAGTCTGACAGTTCTCTGTGTACATTAGCTAGGCCTGGTCCATTAAGAATGTTGGATTTTTCTCTTTAGAATCACTGTATTTTGTGGTCAGTGGAATGAACAGCTCTTGTGAGATGTTTACCTCAACACAAAAATGCTTTCCTTAGCTTGTTTAACTACCACCCCTCATGCACACATGCAAAGAGCCTGGTAATGCTAATCTTCTGTGTTAAAAGAAATAATTGGTACACTGCTGTTTGTGAAACAGTGGAAAGTTCTTCATATGCGAATTGTGTTGAAAATGTGTTTCTGCTTGATGCTTTCTTCAAATGCACTAACCTGTTTTGCTTGCCTAGTGACACAGCGTTTTAAATACTTGTTAAAAATCTTCTTATTTCTCTTAGATTTATCCATGGTAGGACAAACATCACAGAAATTTATCCTGGTGATGACTCATTTTTCAAGTCAGAGGGAGCGTTTTTGGGAAACTATTTCATACATTATGCAATCCACAAAGGAACAAAAAAGGTATAAAACTATTTTAAAATATATTCTGAATTCCTTCAAGTTAGCAGTCATGATTGTTTTAAGACATTTGGCTATGCAGTCTATGGTGAAGTCCCTCCATTGGTAATTACTGTAATGACTCAATCAATCATAAAAAAAAAGTGAGACTATTCCTTCTGTTTCAGAATGTATTTTTGTGAATTACAGATGCAGTAAGAAAAATCTTACTCATTGTAACACTTATTTCACAAGCTCCAGTATGTACTGCAGTAAAAATCAGCAATAACCATTTCTCAGTAATATAGAACTTTAGTCTTTAAACTGACATATGGATTAGAGTTTATTCTTTATGTAACTGGAAGTGTTTTCTTTTTTACTGTATGGAGACAGAACCTAGAAGATGCAGGTTGTTCTGGCTTTGCCACAGATGAGCTGTTCAGTGCTGGAGAAGCAATCTTGCCTCTCTGTGTCTGTCTATTGTTAAGATTCCTCAGAGATCCGCTCCTGCGTTCATGCAGTGCTTTGTATTTTTAAAGCAGAGTTACAGGTCAACTTTGTGTCCATCAAACCTAGCCTTTAGCTTGCAGTCTGATACAGTTATTCAGTAATGAACTACAGTCTACCCTCTGGTGAGACAACTTTGAGTCCATAATAAATATGTGGAAACTGTGAATGTTTCTTACCACAGAAGTAGGCTTAAAGAATACAACTGCTTTTTTTTTTTTTTTTTTTTTTTACTTTTCAAGGAGATATTTACCTCTGTTCTGAGGCAAATTTAAAAGTGATTGTAGTTGTTTTCTGGGAGGTCAGAAAATGTCCTATCCTGCAAGCTCTTAGTACTGTTTTCATGCTACAGTACCTGTAACTAACTCATCTCCTTTCTGCTCTTTACTGCAGAGAGAAGAAAAGATGTATTCAGTAAACAGCCTACCTCCTGATGTACCAGGAAATCCATACTCTATATCCTCCATTATTACTCAGGCAACCAAGTAACTTTATTTTATATTTGTTACATTAATACCTCTGACTTTGAAAGGATGGTAGTTAAAATTACGCATAATACTTATTATGACATTAAGTTTAAAAATTAAAGGAATTAATAGTAGCACTGAGGATGTCTATAAATTTACAGAACAGCTGTTTAGAAGACATAGTAAGTATGTAATGCTTAATATTTTGTTTGGTTTTTCTCCTCAGAATACTTCAGTACTGCTACAAGACTAAACTATCATTAACTCATAACTATTATCTCTGCTGCTGGAAAATGGTATGTAGCTGAAGAATTATAAATCTTTCAGTGTTACAAGGATGATTATCCAAGCAATAGGGAATAGGACCTAATCTAGAGGGAAGAATGGTGAGTGTATCCTCAAAGATCAGAAGGTACATATTTAGGAACCAAAACCACGCAATGTAACGATATATTTGTGAAAAAGTAAGCAATTGCATGATGAAGAGAACTCAAAAAGTAAGCAATTGCATGATGAAGAGAACTCGATGTGGTCTGGAAAAACAAGTAAATTGAAAATCTGGGAGAGATGGAAACAGCTGTAATGATGGATGTTATCTTTGGGCAAGTGTCTAATGTATTTGTTTGGTTCTAGGTACCTGAGACAGATGGACGAGAAATGTTACCAGTTTTGCTGTATGAAAAGGTTATTCCCAGCATGGGAAGACTCATTGTGTACTCAGATCATAAAGTCCATGCTGCTTTTTGGGATGGGACTACCCTGATTATGGTCTGGGATTACAGCTCATCCTGTAGTATGATCCAGGTAACTGATGAGTTAAGAGGAATAACTATTCTGAAAACTCTTCATGAAAAAGTGCTACTAGGAAACAAAACAAAAGTTTTGATACCTATAAAATACAAATTGAAGCCTTGAGAGATTCATAACTCACAGGAGTTTGCTGCTGTGGCTTACCCTTGAGCTTGTACAGTAGTCTAAGTGAAAACAGGAACTATCTGCAAATGCCACTGTTAATATATTACCAGTATTTTAATCGGAAATGAGGAGGAAAAATATTTTGGTGCATAACTGATGCCTAAAGAAGAGTCAAATGAAACTTTACACTTTTAAGAAGTCATTCACATTGATCAAAGAAGGGATTATTTGTTTTTTATTTCAAATTACCTATAATTGAGCAAATGGATAGTGAAAAATTTCTTGAAAAAGTAATCTTGCACATATGGTATTCCATATACATTTTTATATCTACTTAATATAGAAGTAAAAAGACTATGTTGATTTTTGAAAAATGGCACTGTAGAGAAATTTATGCGAGTGAGGATTCAAGATTGTCTGCTGAGACTTTCGGCTTCTGTGTCTTTGCTTATTACCCTAAGGTGACAAGAAACAAAAAAGATGTTGAAGTGTCTGAGGATATCTGTATTTATAAACCATGTAAATATGATAGTTAGTGTGTCAAGAGATGCAGTATAGCTTCCTGATGTGAGCTAGCTCAAATCTGTATACTCAGTCATGATAAAAGGAGGAAGAACTGAGAATTCCACAGGTTTGGAAACATTTCTACACACTTCTAGAAATAATTTATTCTTGAATAGCACAAAACAAGTGTTGGGGCCATGCCAGGTGTGGGGTTTTTTCCCTCCCCACATTTGTCATAGCAGACCATACCAAATTCTATCCTTAGCATAACACAAACTTTTAAGTGTTTAAAGTGGAATGTTCATAGATACTTAGTTCTTAAATTGGCATATTATAGTTGCTTTTTTTTTTTTTTTTTTTTTTTTTCAGGCAGCAGCAGAAAATGAATACTTGTAATTTTTTTCCTTCTAAGGTAAATGAAGATGTAGGCTGGTGTAAATTAACTACTCCTGATGGGGTACAGCAGCTAGTACAAATAAGTCATCCTGGAATCTATGAAAGGTATAAGTAATTTAAACAATTTAAAGTTAATTATAAAAGAATTCTGTGCAGTTCCTTTTATGTGAAGAAATGGTATTTACTGAAAACACATTGGAGGGGGGATCCAAACACATAACAATAAAAGCTCCACCTTACATCTGTCAAAGATTCAGGATCTGTATGACCTGGGACCACTGCATGCTGTTATTCCATTATAATTATTACACTAACGTCTTTTATAAAAATATCTAGAGCTGCAATTTGGCACTTACATCAGTGGATGGGGGGAAAATAAAATTTAGTCCTATATAGAGCTAGTACATAGAACTGGATAACACTTCATCCAGTTTTTGCTTCATTACATATATTGACCTCTGCCTGCAGATTGCTTTCTCTAATCTGCTTGCTCTAATTACAGCCTCATTATGGCAATCATCAGAAGTTTACTGTGCTGCATTTTAGCAAACAGTTATTCACCGGCAAAAATTAACATTTGTACACTATCCATTACAAACCATAGAGCTTTATTATAATTTTCTATAACCGCATAGATTTAAATATGGAGATTTTAGACAAGTGGGAATCAAAAAATGGCAAGGAAACCTGGAGAAAAAGCTGATTTTGAATCATGGTTTTTTTTTGTTCGTATCCAGGTGTATTGCTTAATACCTTCTTTTTTTTGCTTGATTGAGTGTATTTCTTATATAAATAACTACCTTTTGTGAATTTTCATGTTCACATAGGTACATCAGAACAGCAATAGAATGGTGCAGAAGTTTGAATGGAAGGAAGGAGATTCCCGAATATGCTGCACACTCTGTAACTGAAGAAAATTGGTATTCATCTTTTACACTAAATAATTGACTGCAAATAATGTTGAAAATAAAACTCAAAAAGCCTATAAACTGTGAATTTTATAGACTGCATTTCCTAAGGGTCAAAAATGGAAGTGGAAAGTCCATTTATTTTGTGTGGTTTCATATTTTTCTGCCAGTGTTTAGAATGTTAGGTAAGTTGAGTTGGTGATTCTTGTTTCATTGCACTTCTGCCTGGCTTCGTTAAGAATAGGAATTACAGTGACCTTGCCAAAAGAGGATTAATGTTCAGAGATGGTATCTTGCAAGGTGAAGAAGAGAAGTTAGATGAAGAAAGGTGTCTTTTAACAGAACACCAAGGAGTTCAAAATAGTACTTTGAACTGCTAAATGACACTTGTATCTCTTGCTAATGTGTCATTTTTGATACATGCTACTGACTAAAGGTCTACTGACATCATATACAAACATATTCACATATTTAAAATGTGTTAATTGAAATGAATTACATTTGCACTTGTAACACAATTTATTGCAAATTCAGCAGCTGATTAAATGAAAATTATATTTATGCATATATACAGCAAAGAGACTATTTTTAGAGCAGAGCCCTGACTTTTGGAAACACAGATGATTGTTGAATGGCAGCCATTGACCAGCGGTATGAAAGACAAAAATAAAGCATTTTTTTTCACTTGGATTTTGCTCATCTAATTTTCAGTATTTCTGGAAGCTATTAAAAATCAAAATCTGAAGTATAAAATACATTTGAGAATCACTTATGATACTAAATTGTTTAATAATCTGTATTTTCTTGGACAGGTCTGCTGATGCTGAGCTGAAAAAAATACAGAGATTTAACTGTATCCTTTTGAAAGCTCTAAAGATTTTTCACTTCTATGTTGTTACTCATCTGCGTATGCAAATCTGCATTTTTAGATCATCAGAGGCTCTCTATCCTCTTCTCACCTTCTTTTACTGTCTTACCCACTTCTTAAAATTACCTTTCAAAGCCATTTTTTGTTTTCTTACTTAGAATTTTTGTTTTATCATTTATCCTGTCCAACTTCTGCATCACAGCATCAGAAACAAAACCAGTGTCAGAGTACAAACTAAAACAAAAGATCACTCATAAAAGGAAGCCCTTTAATGGGTATTGCATTAGTTTTGCTAACACACATCTGCTGACCTGTTCTGAAAAAGGAATGGTGCAGTTGCCTTTGGGCTTGTTGTTGCAGTACAATACCTTTCTGTTTATCAACTACCTCAGTATTGTTCCATTGCATTCAGCCAGCTCAAAAAAGTGTGCTGCACTGCATGCACTTAAGCCACTCTATAATTGTCTTTAAGCCAGTGTCCAATTTTATTAGTATGAAAAGTACATGCTGTTAACTGTACAGTGTGACATCAGATGTTTCCTTTTTAACGTAACTTTTGAATAAATTGAAGTCTTAGTTAAATACAATTTCTATAAATGTTGTAGACATTTTGAGTAATATATTCTTTTTATTTTTTAGCTTTATGTAATTACCGTGCTATGAAATGTGAGACTTTGCAGTGCAGAATGATGAATACAAATGTGGAGAAGTATTTTTCTTATTATGAGGAAGAGTTTGATATTTTTTCCTTAACAAGGTAACACTAGTTTTATTGGATAATATCACTGTTCTGGAAAGGACATCTGCTGCAAAAAACACTCCATCTGGTATTAGTGCCAGAAAAACAGAAAACGGGAGTGAGCCGGAAGAAGTCGATAAAGTGTGTGTCTCGGAGGCTTTGGAAAAAACTTCTAAAGTAATTCAAGATATTGAGTCTCTGCTTTCAGCTTTTGGGAAGTGAAACCTCTTAGCATGTGAAGACCTGTGTTCTCTATCTTCACAGGAGCTGTCTCAGCTATGTCTGAGGAGGCTTTGAGGTGCCAGAGGAAAGAAGCCTGAAAGCAGAGTGATGAGTTGTCATTGTAATACCACAGCAGACTGGCAAATTCTGTCAGTTGCCATTATTATGCTGCAGTTCTATATTGTGTATGGGCAAAAAGAACAGGCGAAATAATAGAGCACAGCTGTATAAATAGATCAGGGTTAACAGTGCTGCTTTTAAATGTATGAATGTCTGTTTGAATTGTTTAATTTTATGGAGGGTTGTGCAAGTAACATGGTTCATGGCTGAAGTGATGGGTAGGGATAAGCAGTTTTAATTAAAAATGTGGTTTCATTTAGAAGCTTATACCGAGTAGTTCAATATTGAATAAAAAGTTTCCCAAACTTTATTATACTGTAGTAAATAAATATCTAAAGTGTCCTCAGCCCTTTCTGGTGTGTGGCCTGTCACTCAGTGGTGCACAATACCTTTAGTGATAAAATACCAGCCTGTTATCATTGGTTCCTCATCCAGCAGTTCACTGACTAATAGAATGGTTTGGGTTGGAAGGGACCTTAAAGACCTAGTTCCAAGCCCCCTGCCATGGGCAGCAACATCTTCTGCTAGAGCAGGTCACTCAAAGCCCCGTCCAACCTGGCCTTGAACCCTTCCAGGGAGGGGGCAGCCACAGCTGCTCTGGGAAACCTGTCCCAGTTTCACATCACCCTCACAGTGAAGAATGTCTTCTTTATCTCTAATTTAAATCTACCCTCTTTAAGTTTAAAATAATTACCCTTTGTCCTATCACTACACTCACTGATAGAGTCCCTCCCCACCTTTCCTGTAGCCCCCTTTAAGCACTGGAAGGCCACTCTAAGGTCTCCCCAGAGCCTTTTCTTCTCCAGGCTGAACAGCTCCAGCTCTCTCAGCCTGTCCTCACAGGGGAGCTGCTCCAGCCCCTGATCATCTTCGTGGCCTCCTCTGGACCCCCCCTGAGCAGGTCCATGTGCTTCTTGTGTTGGGGCCCCAGAGCTGGACACAGCACTGCAGGGGGGTCTCACGAGAGCAGAGCAGAGGGGCAGAATCCCCTCCCTTGACCTGCTGCCCACACTGCTCTTGATGCAGCCCCGGACACGGTTGGATTTCTGGGCTGTGAGCGCACATTGCTGGCTCATGGTCAGTTTTCCATCCACTAACGCCCCCCAAGTCCTTCTCCACAGGGCTGCTCTCAATCCACTCCTCGCCCAGCCTGTGTTTGTGCTTGGGATTGCTCTGACCCATGTGCAGGACCCTGCACTTGGCCTTGTTGAACTCCATGTTGTTCACATGGGCCCACCTCTCCAGCCTGTCCAGGTCCCTCTGGATGCCATCCCTGCCCTCCAGCGTGACACCGCACAGCTTGGTGCCATCGGCAAGCCTCATAATCTTGTCGTGAATACCAACCCCCTGTTCTTTAATGTTTCTCAGAAAATTTCTCCCTCCGAACCCAGCCCCGCCGCCCTCGCAGCGGCGCTGCGCCGGGCGAGCGGGGGAGGAGCCGCGCGTCTCCCGGCGTGCTCCGCGGCCGCGCACACCTCCTCCCGCCGCGCCGCCGGGCCGCGGGCGGGCGGTGTCGCGGGGGCCGGCCGTGCTCCGGGGGTGGGCCGCGTCCCAGCGCCGGAGGGGGCGGCCGGCGGCGGCCGCGCTTTAGGTGGGCGCGGAGGCGGCGGGGCGGGCTGGGCGCGGGGGGCGCCGCACGGCAGCCCCGTCACCCCGCGGAGGCGGGGAGCCGCGGTCTTCTCCTCATGGCTCCGGGCTGCCTGCCGCGGGGCGGGGGCTTCGGGGGGCCGTGGGCGAGGGGACCCTGGGGCGCTGAGAACGCCGTGGGCTTTGCTGAAAAGAAGCTAAAGCTGGGGAAGAGTGTCGTAGCAGGATGAGAGGAGCTAGTGTCTAATTCCTGTTTTACTGGTGTAGGTACCCATACGTCGTGTCTGATCCTAACGTAAGGAACGGTGATACACTGCGTTACCAGAAGCTGGGCACGTCACTTAGGTGTAAGGCTCCCAGACAGTCTTGGCTCCGGTTTTGCGGTAAAGATGTTAGTACATTTTTATTTCTTAGTGATCGAGGAGATAGCTGATGAGGGGCTTTGGTGCCGAGTGTTGAGACAAAGCATACCCTTTCCTTAAGACATAAAAATTCTTGCTGATCTCTGTAATTTTACCTGACTGCCGCATGCATGTCTTTCTTTCATCCTTGTCTTTAGTTACACATACTAATTGTATTTTAATTTTAAATTGGCTTAGCTGTTTATGATCCAAATGCTGTTGTAGTTATTGAGGATAGTACATAAACTGCTCATGCTTTTTAATTTTTTTTTTTTTTCGGGTGTAGGATGACAAGTGATTTTTTTTCCTTCCACTGGGTAGTACTGTAGTCTGTTTCTAGGTACTTTTAGGATATTTCTTTCAAGTCTTTTAGGTGCATGACAGTTCCAAAGTAAGAAGAAGGTCTGCATTTCGGTGTCTTGCTATCTCTTTTCAAATACTTTAATTTATGGTCCCTGAAGTATGCAGTTTCATTAAATCCTGATTTTATGGGGGGGTTGTTTGTTTTTCTTGATTTCCTTGTGGGCTTAATTCAATCTGTTCCTCAGTATCTTGGTAAAATCCTACTGATTTCTCACATGATTTGTCCTCTTTCCTCTTCAGCCACCTTCCAACCCCAATAATGCATTATAATTATCTGACCCAAAAATATTTGCATTATCATTTCTTCACAGATCGTTTAGGCTTAGATCTGATTTTCCATGAGATAATACATTAAAGGTATGAGCTTGTGTCTTAAATGGTCATTATACTTTATGGGGATTTTCATATAATTAATGTGCAATATCAAGTAGTAGCATTTTAGGAGACTGTAGAATTATAAGGGACTACTGTGATCTTTTTGCCTTCTTTCATAAAGTGTATAATTCTACTAATTTTATGTATTAAATTCCTGTATGTATTCATGTACCAATAACTAATTGCAAAATTGGGGCAAAAACTTTGGAGAGTAATATTTCTAAGTAATTTTAGCCATTGGATTTTTGTTTCACTCATACACCATGAGTTGAGAGGTCACCTATTTCCCCAAATGTGTATTTACAATTTTGATCTAAATACCTTCTTGTGTCAGTAATTTACAAGGTTAACTGTGCATTTGTTAAAATGATTTTTATAGTTTCTTTAAATTAAATTAAATATATCAGAAAAAATGCATTTTGTAGTTATAGGCAGAGATTATGCATAATGCTTAATTTCATATAAAAATGCCATAGGAAATCACAACTCTAAGCAGTGTTAATCTATCAGCTGTTGTGTGCATGTGTTCTGTGTTAACCCAACATAAATCTTTCCTTCAATATGCTAACTGGTCTGACCACCCGTAGGTTTCTAAGCATTCTTGTGTAATGCACCTATTCCCCAGTGTTCTGTTTTAACAAGAATACAAGCTCCACAACTATGCTTTCTGAGATTTACAGCATACAAAAACCTTTGGCGCTTTATTGTGATATTTTGTAACAGTCTGAAAGTCATTATTTTTCAGACAAAAAATACAGTTTCTAGTTTTGTATTAGAAATTGTAATTTCAGAAATTATTTTCGTTGGATAGATTTTTGCTTTTTCTAGTCTGATTTCACTCTTAATCTGCAGAATATTTATACTTAGGTCACTGTACTTGAGAATGTGACTTTATTTTCACACAGCAGACAATTTTGTCTGTAAAAGATGGCAGAGACAGATTGGTTAAAAAGAACAGTTTTGCCATGGACATGGCTTTTCAGTAAGGGTAATCTGAAGCCACATTTTTGCTTCCCATTCTTCATTCTGGCTCAAAGACACCCATTCACATATTGTCATTGTTTTCCAGTTGACATTGTTACCTTTATTTCATGCTATGTAAATCTCAAATCATACCTATTTTGGATTTTTTTTACGTCTGTAGTGATGCTTTCCCTGTGTACTTTATTCACATGTTGATAATATTTATAGAAAGCAGTGTAAGCCTACCACAGACCTGACGCAGACCTCTGTTGCTATTTGAAATTATAGGTCTCTTTTTATCTATTCCAAAGTCACTGAGTGATGGGATGAAACTAAAAAGATATGCCTGAAAATGATTCATAAATGTTTCAATAGGTGGGGATCTTTCAGGCACACAGTTACAAGGAAAAATCTGTTAAAATAGATCTCTGCATATTTTGAAATGCAATTATTTAAAACAGAAGGCTGGAAGTGCACTTTTCTGAATTTAAGATACTGGGGTTTATTATCTTTTAATTATTAACTGTTTCCATCTTTATTTGTGCCCATCTTTTGTTTTATGGTCTTTTTTTTCCTGCTTTCTTTAACAGAGCATCTAAGCTCTACCTGAAGTTGCTTTTTGCTCAATTATATTTGTTCAGGAATTCATTAAAAAGATGTTGCTTCTTTTGTATTTTTGACTATTGTTCAGTTTTCATGTATGTTTTGTAGAGAGTTTTAAGAGCTTTGCATAGTATTGGTGCTTACTGCTTCCTGGTTCAATTTATTTAGGATGGAACAAATGGTATTTGGTCTTTCCTACATTGAACTGGGCAGACTGGATTCATCAAGCACAGAGGCTCAACACTGAGGCATAGACCACATTTTCTACTGGAACAAGGCACCTGCCATGGAAAAAATGTGTTCTCCTAGGCCCAAGGTAAGTTTGATTCTGAATACTGGTGTGCTTTTTAAAGGTAAGTTGCTAGCTACATCACCTCTTCACATATTTGGTTCTTAAACAGAACTTACAGAACTTTTAAATAAAATCCAGTCTGACACAATGGTTTTATAGAAAAAAACATTTGTGAGATCACCAAAATGGAATTTATTCAGAAATGTACTGTATATTGTAAAGTAACCTACCAGAAAATGTCAGTTCCAGTGTTTCAAGAAATACTTAGTATCTGCATGTTCATTCAGAAGAGACACAGTCATGGTTAACAGATGCTAAACTTGACCCACTTCTTTTCATCTGTGTGCACAGTCCATATATTATTCATGATTTCTTCCCCCTTTTTTTTTTTAAACATTTTCCAAATAAATGATTCAGTGGGCTTATTTTCTATAAAGATCAATGCCAGTAGTCACATCTTGTAGATAATTCTCCAATAAACAAGCATGTAAATAATCTGGAAGAAACTTTTTTTTATTTTCTGGTGCTTATAATCAATGATGTGTTTAAAATCATAAACTATTATGTGTCAACATTGTTAGAAGTTTTAATTTTTAAAGGAAGTCTACTACACTCATTAAAAGCCAATAGAAAATAAAAATTTACCTGATAGAGCTGTATGAAGAAGGATTATCAAGATTTAATGTACTGCACAGAAATAGCAACCTCTTGGGAAGAATCCATTTTCAGACAGGATATAGACTTTGAAACTGTGGTCTATCTCCATGGCTCCTCAAAAGACAGAAGACTCTAACAGTTCGGACAGTTAGAATTGATACTGTCCCTCAAAGGCTGCTTTTCAGTGCATTTAATGTAATGAAGCTAGGGAATACATCATTCATATGAGGATTTTTATTTCAAAAGTGTTCTTTTTAATTTTGTCACAGAAATGAATACTCTGTCTTTATAATCCAGGTTTCTTGTAATTGCTTCTTGGGAGTGGGTGAGGATGTCTTGAAGATCTTGAATTATATTTGGAATTTCTTTTGAGGTGCCAAGCAGTTGTTTTAAGGACAGTAATTATTTCCAAGACATCACCTTGTGCAAGAGGCTTTCATAACAATTACAGAACATAAATAGTTTTTAAGGACTTCTAAGCGATTATTAATGCTAATAGCAATGCCTATATTTTCAAATTGCAACTGTCAGCTTTTGAAAAGTAAAATGACTAGGATTAGTTAATTTTTTCTTTTTTTTTTTTTTTGGCAAAAAGATCTGTTATGAAGATAATGTGGCACACAATAGACAAGTCCTAAAAGTAACAGTAGAGTTCGCTGGAACACATACTGAGGAAAAGCATATGTAGTTTTGATCTGTAAAAAGTTAGTTTTGATTATGTCTACTGGACTGAATGGTTGTTGTCTTTCTGTTTATGATAAATGGTACAGATATTCTAGTGGTTCTGGTTTTTTTAATGCTTATTCTATGTGCTAGTCTCCAAGGTAAACAAGGAGTTGCTCAGAGAAGTATCAGAGTGATAATACATGCACTTACAAAGAATGTAAATTAAAGTAGTGGTTTGGATTATAAATTAGAAACTCAGTTTTAACAGTTGTTGCATAGAGAGATTTGGGATTTTTGAGTATCAGTCCCAAGAGTCTTCCAGATTGAATCTTTTGTTGTTACAGTGTAAAGGATTTAATTTTATGAATATCATGTATCTAAGACCAGGAGAAATATTGAAATATATTTAATGTATTATCATAGACGTGTTTAAAATTATTTTGTAAAATTTAAGATTTCAGACAGTGGAGTTAGAGCTTTTCATATTACAAAGGTGCTCATTCCAATTAAAACAGGACAAGTGTTTTAATTCAGAGCTGTAGTGTTCAAGTCAACAAATTAACTGAAATCAAAAATACCATAGGAATCTTAAGTGCAAACATTGAGACTGGGTTTTTTTATGCTCAGTTGTAGCTGTGATAACAAATTCTTTGTACTAATGTTTTTTTTTTCTTTAATAATTTTCTTTCTGTCCTCTGACATCTACAGAGCAACTGACAATAGGAAGGACAATGCACAGTGTATATCCTGATGACATTTTGTGTACTGTGACATGGATATTACCATGGCATCTGAGACTGAAAAGGCTTATGCTCTTCTCCAGACTTTCAGCACAGCTTCAGTTATTTCTAGTCTAGGTTTGGGAATGTTCTGCTTTATAGCAGACAGACTTCTGCAGTTTTCCTTCATTCAGCAAAATGACTGGCTCCGAGCCTTCTCTGATAATGCAGTGCATGGTATACTAGGAGTGTGGTCCTGGGCAATAGTGATTGGACTCAGGAAGAAAAGTGACTTCACTGAGGTTGCTCTGGCTGGCTTCCTCGCCTCTGTCATTGATGTGGACCACTTCTTTCTTGCTGGATCCCTGTCATTGAAGGTAAATCAGTAAATCAGCGATTGTTTATTTTCTTTCTTCATCACTGTTTACTTTATTGTTCTATCATATCCTATACAAAAAAAGCTCCAGTGATACTTTAATTAGATACATTTTTAATAGAGATATGGAAATTATATTTGTATGTTGTTGCCATTATTTTAAAAGCCCTAAAAGTATTTTACATCTACTGTTAAGTTCTGGTCCTTACAAGGCTTTGAAAAAAGGATTCTGAAAGCCCTTGTACGTGATATCCCATGTGTATCACATAGTTGCTTTGTTATCCAAGTTAAACAGATACGTGCTGCCATGCGCACTTTGTGTATAAAGTGGATTATACCATTTCTCTTTACAATAAGGGGTAGAAGTATCTGGAAAGTAGATAATCCAGCTTCTGTTTGATTTCATTCAATCTTACTGAGTAGCACATTTCGTTGTAGCCAACCCTAAATATTCCTCCCACAAACAAGCTATATATGAGCTTTCACCTTTAAAAAGGCAGTCTGAGCTTGCCCTTAAATATGGTTTGTTGTAAAAAAAAAAGTAAAACAAATAAAGCAAGTGTCAAACTTGTTAATAAAAATGAAAAGATGAATTGGCATCTGTTAAGGAATATATGTGATCATCATCCATTTGCAGAACTTCTTGTTAGGACGCAGTATCTCAATAGGGTTAGTACTACCAGATTATGGCATTCTTCTTCAGTGGTTCTCCAGTGGTCTGGAGATGTGTCCTGTTGCCACTCCCCCATTCAGACACATTCATATATCCCTGCCTTATTGCCTGCTCCGAAGGTATATATTTAACTTTTGCTGACCTTAACAGTCTCTTCCATATACTCTCCAAAACATTTACACCTTCTGTAAACTCCAGCTGAGCCAGCCCCGGCCACAGTTCTCTTAACACTGCCCTCCAGATCCTGTACCTCAGGCAGACAGACACTCCTTGCCCCAGCTAGCTTCTGGTCCCCATAGCTAGAGCCCTGACACTCTGCTTGTTATCAGGAATTTGCTCTGCTCAGCCACACGAGTCCTCACTGGTTTATGCTGGTGTTCTAGCATACTTACACATACACGCTACCTTCCCCTCTCCAGAAATGTACACCTCCACCTACAGATGGATCTGCACAAGAGAAGGGGAAGATACTGACCTATACCCATTCAGCCAGGGCATAGCTTAGTTGTTCAGCCATCTCACCTTCTTTCTCCTCCTCCAGTTTGCTGATAATAAAGTTGCGCTCTTCATACAAATGACAGAGGAAATAGCTCCTAGGATGCAGAGGAAGGAGAGGTGAAGGGAAAACTGATGTTCTTTCTAATCCTTTAATTAAAGAAGAACAATACAGAATGTTTTACCAGTTTTTTTAAAATATGTAGGAAACAGCTAAATGCAAGAAGCATTATTGCTTATAGTTGAGATGTAAAAATCAGACTTCCAATGGGGAAACAGTTTTTGTTTATGTACAATATCACTATCTGTTGTAGAGAAAAGATGTTTTCCTATTTGTGCATTTGGTCAGTTTCCCCCTTGTATTTGCCTTTGACAAAGGGGACATTTTCACAGAATCACAGAGTGGTTGTAGTTGGAAGGGTCATCTGGAGGATGTCTTTTCAACCTCGCCCCTGCTGAAAGCAATCTCACCTGGGTCTGGTTGCTCATGGATGTAGACTCCACAACTTCTGGGCAACCTGTTCCCATGCACAGCTACCATCACAGTGAAAACATGTTTCCTTACATTCAGGAGGACTCTCCTGTGTTTCAGGCTGTGCCTGTTGCCTCTTGCCCTGTCACTGGGCACCACTGGAAAGAGCCTGGCTGTGTTTTCTGCACACCCTTCCTTCAGATATTGGTACACCTTGGTGACATCTCCCCTGAGCCTTCTCTTCCCCAGGCTACACAATCCCAGCTCTCATCCTTTCCTCATATGCAAGATGCTCCAGTCCCTTCGTGATCTTGGTGGCCTTTCTCTGGACTCGATGTCCAGTAGCTCCATGTCTCTGCCGTAGTGGGGAGCCCAGAACTGGCCTCAGCATTCCAGAGGTGGCTTTACCAGTGCTAAGGTCAAAGGGGAGAATCACCTCCCCCAACCTGCTGGCAACACTTGCTGGAACAGTGCTGTTCCTCCCTAGGTAGTCCCTAGTTCTCCCTTTCTCTGTACTTTTTGCATATGGAAATACTGAAAAATTACAAAACTATATAAAAGAACGTTAGTTTAGTTGATTAATAGATCCTGTAATATTAACATTTTGGTATGGCATTTAAATCTATAATTATTCTCATATATATTTTCTTATTTTAAAATCAATAAATGCAAGTAATGAATGAATGGCTAGTTATTAGAAAGTATTGTTAAAATTTTATTGCTACTCTTTCATGCATTTGAGATCAGTACCAGTATTTTTTCTGAATTATGACCACTAGATGACACTCTTCACCAATGTCTGTTTAGAAAGTTGAGTACTGTATTAGAATTGGGAGGTGACCTGTCTCTTTGCTGCCTTCAGTGAGGCAAGGTTGGATATGCTTACACTTTCTGTGTTGGAGAATGTTTGTGTAGCCTATCCTTAGTATCCCATCAAAGTAAATTATTGCAGTTTCATGACTTAATTTGTTCCTGTGTTGTTTCAGCTTCCAAGTAGCTAGCAGTTGTTTTTCTTGAAGTATTGCTGTTGACACTTAGATTTTGTTTTCTTATTCTTTAAGGCCTCTTTGCAAAAGATTGTTGTGCTCTCCTCAAAAATGTTTTTAAAATCAGAAATACAAGATGTTTCAGATAGAAGAATAACCCTGTAGTAGCCAAACTTACTTAGCTGAGGTAAGGAGAAGGCAAGAAGCCGAAAGGCTTTTTTGTAGTCATTTGCCTGCAAACTCCTCCCCGCTTCCATACATGAACTGGGCAAATAAAGGGTGTTTATCCATAAACCATATCCTGTGTAAGTCTCTGGACCCTTACAGCAGTTACAGCATTACTCTTACAACTTGCAAAACCATTATGCTTTACAAAAAGTTTCTTCTTGACTAAGTAACTCACAAAAAAGTCTAAAGGGCCTGGATTTATGTTTTTGAAATCTCTTACTATTTTTCTCGTCTGCTCTGGATTGCCTTTTGCCTAATTTATCTTTAAAGGGTCCTGTTCTGAACTGTGTATAGTATTTTAGGTGAGACTTCATTTGAGCCAAATAGCATAGATTAATTCCTTTTAATGTCACATGTATACAATATTTCTGTCTTTTTAAAAAGAAAAAAAAAATCTGTTACAGGTTTTATGTCTCTTGAATTGTCATTGGAGACTTTTTAGTTTGTGATATAATATAATCCCCATAATCTTTTCTGCTGCGTTACTGCCTGGCTAGCTAAACCTGATTTATAATACATGATTTTTCTTTCCTCAGCTACATATGATGACACTTTCAGTTTCATGTAGTAATTTCAGGCTGTTGCCTATGTAATTTATTACTTTATGGAATACCTTGTATTTGTTAGTTCCAGTCCCATTCTTCCTCTTTAGATTGCAGAACTGAGACTAACTGATTTAAGAGACTACAATGTTTACTGTTTGTGCAACACATTACTAAGTAACTAACAAACTAAGAAGTCTAATTAACTAACCACACCACTATTACTAATTTGTAACGATAGTATTTGTCACATTGCTCTACACAATTATCTATAAAACTCTTCATCATCACTCTTAAATCTGATGACGAGTTACTTTTGAAATAACCCTTCTATGCAGCACAAGGCAGTATTGCCTTCTACCTCCAGTTTCTACCTTCACACTACTCCCGTTCCTGCTGACACAGCTTGCTGCTTGGATTATTTGGCTATTGGGCTGTTTTTCATGGTGTCATCATTATTTTTCTGGAGTATTCAGGGTAAATAGTCACCTGTGCTATTTATACGTTTACTCTGATGAATACTTGTGTACCAAGTAGCATGTGATCTGCCCTTTTGCCCACATTGTTTTTGCAACAAGTATAAAGTCTACAAAGACTTTGCTACTTAGAATGTGTAGTTCTTTCTATTCCATGTAGTTTTTACTGTGTGTTACATGCACAAAAGTATAGAAGAATCTGTGTTTGAAGAATCTGTCTCACTGACTAGCTCTACAAGTGAAAGTCACCGCAGCCTGCCATCATACTCAGTATTGCTGATAAACAAGAACAGTATGATGGGCTGCTCCCAGTATCCCCCAGGATTGTAGCCCAAACACTCATGTTGTAGAACAGGCATGCAGAAATTGCTTGCTTGCTACTTAAGCCTCATCAGCTTCTAAAAGTGTAGAGAATGCAGTCAGTGGTAAACCAGATTGTACCAGCAAGCAAACATAACACGACTTGTTAATGTGCGACTGCTGACCCAACTGGCCGCACAGAAGCGTTTCTGGGATTGAAGAATAAACTTTGCACATGCACAATTAATTTAACATTGGTTTTATAGATCAGCCTCAAATCTTAAAGGACTTCGGGCTTCTGAAGCATCACAGAATATGAGTGAGGGAACCCAAGTTGCATAAATTCCATGGTGTTACTTTGAGTGTTAAAGCAAAGAGTTTACTTGAGTTCTCCTGCATGCAATTGTTGTCTCCTGTCTCCAGCTGCTCATTGTAGTGTGTGAGACGGGCTGGAGGAACAGGAACTTCAAGCAGATGTTGCACCTGATTGAATACATAGGCAAATGGAAAAGTAATTTGTGTTTTGAATAAATCTGTTTGCAACTGCAGCCTAATCTCTCTCATGGTAGGCATCCCCCTAAATCTACCCAAACCACAATCATTTTTTTTCAGGAGATTTCAGGCTGACCAGGCTTGTACGATTTTTTTTTTAATATCTGATGATTTCTAAAGGTGAACAGATTTGCCTGTTAGGAGAAACAGTATAACAGCTTATATTGCCAGATAGAACTGCATGTCAGTATCTTGGGCTTTGCAACTCAAGGATGTAAATGTTCCTCTAGTTGCAGAATGTAAAAGAGAAAACAGACTGTTTTTCTCTCAGAACTTGGACAACAGCATTTCAGAAGCCTAATGAATGTACTACAATTACAAAATAGGGCTTTCTTGTGCTAAAATTGAGCGCTTAGGTATGAACAGCCCTGCTATCTAAAATTTATATGAAAAAATTCAAGCATCAGCTTCCCAAAACTGGATAAAGATTGGCACTAATACTGATGAATCGCCTGCGTAATTAATATTCAGATTCTCCTTACTCATTGTCTTGCTCTTGGCACCTAACCTCCGTAGACCAGAGGGAAAAGACTTGTTTAGACTTTGCCACTAATTTTTTTCAAAGTGCAGAAATAGTAACCAGTTGATCAGATACCTACCAAAATGTATCACCACCCAGGGTGTTTTTTCAAAATTAGGCTAGTATGGAATTTTTAGGCTCTTGCTGACAGTAACAAAAATCTGACTATCTTTGAATGGTAGGTGGTAAACAATTTCACCATCACAAGATTTTTCTGCCTTAATCCATGAACAATCTGCTTATATGAAACAATAATGAAGTTGTAGAAAATACACCCTTTGCAACAACTTTAAGGAGTTGGGTCCATACCACTACAGTTAAAAGTTATTGAGACAGTTTGTGACCTTTTTAATCCCATCATTTGATCAAGACAAACATGTGGTGGGAAGCTAATAGAGCAAAGATTTCTGAAAGCCCTTTAACACTGGCTTTGGTTTAGAGCACAGACTATTATATTCCAAGGTGGTCCATAAGTTTCCATCTGTCTATTTCTTGGCTAAGGCTACATCAAAGTTTTCTTACAGAGAAGATAGGGTTCCAAACAGTTGTCTAAATTATCCCTGAAGACATGACGAAGCTATTCCAGAGTCCTACTGTCAGGTACTGTAGCTGTTGAATCCCACAACAGTTAGCACGACTGAGGCATTAATGGGTTACTGGCTGATGTCTTGTAGCAATGCTTTGTTTGCTTTCTGCAGTAGATGCAGCAAGGGATGAGTTTCAACATAACAATAAGATGCACTGTCATATACATCTCTGGTGCCTATTACAGTCTTTCCTATTTTGCCTATTACAGTATTTGAGTTGAGCCAATTAATGTTACATCAGTACCTGTACAGAGCTTTTAGTAATGTGCTATCATTTATCCTGTGCTTACAGAAACAATAATCTACTTATTTGTTGCTTAGAAATAGAAAATTTTTTTTTTACTGTCTTCAAATTTGTGGAGATAGTTGTAGCTGTTGCTAGTAAGTACATCTGGAATATTTTCTCCAGTATGTATATTAAATTGATAATTATTACTTCTTAAAATGGCTAAATTTAATCTCACTAGCTAGACCTTCATCCTAATTAAAACCAAATATCAGGCTTTCAACTGAGTTAACATTAAACGAGTTATTGATATAAAAACCCCAGTCACAAATGATTCACGTGTTGGCTTCTGAACTTGTCTTATGCCTGTCCATAAAAAATACTATGTCAAGGCAATCAAAATACTTGCAATTTAGATCATACTGTCATTGTAATTGAAATTACTGTTCTGTTTTAGATATTGTCCAATGAAAACAACTTCATGGGCACTAACTGCAATATAATACAGGATGTATTTTTGAAAATAACTGTCATTACAGCATATTAAATTTTTAAAGCAAAGCATATGAAGTATTTCAAGTGTATTGTATGGTTATTTTCCTTTTAATTATCTTGAAATACATATAATATAAATACATATAATCAGTGCAGCAGACTATACATGTTCCTGTATACCACATGACTACATGACAAATAGCATACCTCATCCCCCTCCCTCCCTTCCTGTTTTGCCATCAGTAATGCTTAGTAGGATGCATGATTCGTATCATACAGTAGAGAAACATGGCCACACACAGCTCTCATACAATAGTCTTATTGTTGATTTTGATCAACTACAGTGGAAAGGAACAGTATGTTTTTCTTTGCACTTCCACTTAGCCACTTGATAATATACCTGTAAAAATCCATTAAACATTTCTTGTCACAATTGTAGCCATTGCCAATTATATTTTTCTTTTCTGCAGGCTGCTCTGACTCTTCCACGGAGACCACTTCTTCATTGTTCTACTGTGATTCCTGTTGTGGCTCTGACATTAAAGTTTATTATGCACCTTTTCAGGCTTAAGGATTCATGGTGCTTTCTCCCCTGGATGTTGTTCATATCCTGGACTTCTCATCATGTCCGTGACGGGATTCGTCATGGGCTCTGGATCTGCCCATTTGGAAAAACTCCTCCTTTGCCATATTGGCTGTATGTGGCAATTACAGCATCTTTACCTCATCTATGTTCATTTATTATGTATTTAACAGGCACTAGAGAATTAATGTCTATAAAACATGGAATCCACATTGATGTATAAGAATGATGGCTTTTAAAGGTTGTTCACATTAGCACTTGAAATAAGCTGTCTGTTTATCACTGAAGTGTTTTCCTTATGTTTCCTATGGCTTCAGAGCTAGACATTTTAAGCCTGGGGAGCCAGTTACAGCTCCTGTGCCAGTTCCTTGTGATCATAATTTTATATCTATACCTTCCCCCTGTAGATGTGTGCTCTTCCATTATACTTCATGCATAGCTAGATGATTTATAAAGTACTTAGTCTCTCTCTGTAGGAATTACATTATGCTTTACTGTCATGGTGCCATTCATCTGATCACCACTTTGTATTTCTATTCTGCCTTTACATAATACATTTCATCTAGATAGCATTCATATAACACTTTGAAAATGTGAAGTGCTCTATGAATGCTAATTTTTAGTGAGAATTTAGTAAGGTATAACACTTCTAAAAAACATCAGTTAGCCTTTTGAATTTATTTATTTGTTTTCCTTCTGGACTCTTTTATTCAACTGTTTTACAAGAAACACTGTTTGTATTTCACTATGTGCAACTGTATATCTGCACCTCTTTGAACACTGATGTCATATACTGTTTCAGCTAAATTCTATTCCTCTGTAGTTGCTTGGTACTCAATTTGCAGATAATTAGTAGCTATATTTGTGATTAGAAAGGAGAAAAACAGATTGGTTACAGTGTTATGTGTGTGCTGGCCAAATTGTTTAATTTTAAAAATACACTAATTATGAATATTATTTAATTTAGAATTAAGGAATTTTAGTAAATATTTAAGGATTGTGTAAAAGAAAACTTATTTATTACAGTAAAACAAGCTTTATGGAAGATTTAGGAAGATCTAAAAAAGTCAATATTGCTCAAAATGTGACCTTACTACTATATTTGTGAGCAGCATTTTCCATTAAGTTGCCATATCATTGTTATTATTGCAAAATAAAATGCATTATTATTATACAGAAATAGAAATTTCCTCATAAATAAGTTCCTTAAGGAAAAATATTATGCTGCAGATTCATAATGTAGTAATCTATACTGTGGACTATTCAGAGTAACAGTTTTCATTTACAGAAATTTCTCAGAAAAAGTCCCAAAGTAAAAATTAACTCTTGTCTAGTTTACAGTGTATAAGCTGAGAAATGTGTATTAATAATTGTCTTAATTTTTTTATTAATTGAACTCCATTGCTCATTAAGGAGATTGAGCCTTAATTACTACACTTTTTGATGAATAGCTGTTAAAAAGGATTATTTTTATGGAAGAACATATATAGAGTAGCTGTGCAAAACTTAAGTTATAAAAAAGTGCAAAGATTAGGCGATGTGTTCATACTACATTTATGTTAGTTAATGTGTATTAGTATAAAGTTTAAAAAAAATACAGAAAATATTAACTGGGATGGCTGGCTTAATGGGTACCAGCATCCTTCTGTGTTGGAAAGGTACTGAAGGCTCTCTGCAGCACACTCAGCTGATTATGGAAGCTGTTTCACCCTTCTGAAATGTAGTTTCCTACAAAAAGAATAGTCTCTGCCCTCTTTGTTCTTCTTGTTAGAAATATATGCTTATGGAAACCTGACAGTACAGTGAGCTGTTTAGCATTTATTATAAAATGAATAAAAGTATTTTTTCTTGGAAAGAAGACTGGAAAAGCAGAATGTTCCTTAAAGGATTATCTTCATACTGTGGATTTTTCTGTCTTTTCTAGAATGTACAAGTTGCCCAGAAACAACATCAGAAATGTCTTGCTTTGGAGCCCTCAGAGTAGGAACAGTCTTTTATCGAAACATCTGATCGTTTAGTAGAGGGAGGGGTATTGCTCATTCATTTACTTCTAACCTGTATTTTAAACTGCAAGCTATGAAATGCCAATAATAAATATATTTTGTGCAAGAAATGAACACTTAAATCATGTAGAAAATTTTCTGCATTCTTGTTTCATGGTATAATATTTGTATAATTTTGTGCTTTATCCAGATTTGTTGAAAAGGGAAATGTATGTAAGAATAAAGTGGAAAATTACACTTTCTTATTTTTAGATTGTAGCTGTAGCATTTTTGGTAACTATGTCCACCAACAGTCCTTAAGATTCCTACTGTACTGTTCTAGATTTATTTAAGGATCAGTTAATGGGTAGATCTTCAGTAGTTTAAAAACACATATTTTTCATTCTCTGTATTTCTATCAATTTCTAGGTGAACACCAGTTAGAAATTTATTAAGGAACATAGTAAGCACTTGTGGCACATAACTTCTTTTTCTCTCCCTGCAAAGAGGCATGGCAGTCTTATGCCTATTCCTGACGTTTAGGCACCTTTAGCTCAGGCCATTGCGATTTTTCAAGGTAAACAGACACATTGCATGTAATGCTGTAATTTGTGGGTAGCCAGATTAGAGAACAAAGGAGAAGTAAAACAGTTGTTTCAGCCTGTGTCACCTTGGAGACACACCTGCCTATTACAAATGAATTGCCTAACAATTCCTTACCAGTATTCCATGTACACTTTGAATGAATTGGTATTTCCAACTATGCATTGATACCTGCCATGTGTAGCAAAACTATGGCAAAAATAAACTAAGATACTAAAAACATAATTGATTTGTGTTTTACTGCGTGCATTACAATGTGAAGTATAAAAAGCATGTGAACTATGCAAAAAATTGACAAGCTCAAGCTAATAATTTCATGCAGAATGTATGATACATATCACTAAAATATTGGTTATTTCAATGGTTCATTTACTATGCTAATCTAGACTCTTTCCGTGTATTTTCAAGTTGTAGTTAAAAAGTTGAAGAAAGCGTGGGGATTTTCTGACTGTCTTTTTTGTTAGAACTGTGCTGCTTTTTTTTCCTGCTTTAATGCTGTATTAACAAGTAGGTACTAATAATTGCCAGATTATAAGAAAAAATTTAGAATATTTCTTCTCCCCAGTCCTCTAGAAATAAGATAAAGTTTCTTCCAATTCCCTAGTGGCCTTAACAGAGTGACCATATTTCCTATCAGTTTATATTCCAGTTTAAAAAGTAATCTGTATTTTCACATGACATGGCACCACTCTTTTCTACAATGAAGTATGTTGTATCATGTGCCTTTAATTGGTTATTGATAGGTGAATTATTCGTAACTGATTACATGCTCCAAGGAAAATGCTGATGAGTTTGAAATAAAACTGAAATAATTTTAACAACCAGGCCATTGGTATTGGTTTATTAACAGAAAAACATTTCCTTTGCAAGTGGAAATACAGTTCCAGAAAAAGAGAAAGAGGGAAGGGGTTAAAATTCAGTGTAAAGGAAATGTTAGTACATAGTTAATTTTATTCCATCAGCTACTGTCAGTATGTAGCTAAGTGATGAAATGCATCAGAAGAGTACATTTCTGTTTAAGTAATTGAGCCATTCTAAATTCATGCAAATTTATTCAGGGCAGAAGAAAAATTGAATCGGCTTTGATCAGCTGGTAATTTTGAGTCCATAGACTAGGTTTTATTTCCCTGCTACAGGCACACCTTGCACTGAAACAAAGTGAGAGCTGTCAGGTTAAAGTACCCTTTGCATTCATTACAAAAAAACTCAGTACTAACACTTTTCCTCAATAATAATAAATTGGTGCCTTCGGTTCTTTCTTAAAATTCCCCAAATTTTACATCCTCTATATTGAATTATAAATGTGAATGCCACATCGTAGAACTGATTTCTGTTATTTATAACATAAGCACACTGTTAAACAGTACTTGGATTTATATACATATATATGTATTTATATATATAAATATATATATATATATATCACACACTAATTTTTCCTTTTATGACCATATAATAATTTTCTGTTTGCTAAACCTAACTTTGTATTGAATTTCCTTGGGGTAAGGAGTGTTTGTCTCAATAACTAGGAAACCCAGGTATGCTACTACTTAGCAGAAATATTTTAATGCAATGTTAGGGAAATCTTCATAATATTAAAAACTAGAAAATAAATGCTATTGTATTACTTTTGAAGAGAATGTTAAGTAGATTTCTAGGCCATTTGTAAAAACAGGTGTGTTTAATCAAGACTAATTGACTAAAAACATTTGTATTAGTAAATACAGGTGAATAATCTGTGAGAAAATGGATTTGTATACTGAAACTTTTTCAGGGATAATTGACCAAGTCAGACTGTTGCCATATCCATCACAGAAATAATTTCTTTGTCCAAGGAATGTTACTCGTGTCCCTGGAGCCTTCCTTATGTTGCCAAAGGAATTTAATCTTATTTTGATCTTAGTCGATTTTCCCCTTAAAAATTACATAACATTGAGTGAGGGTTCCTGGACTGGTGTGGGTAGTTTCCTTGATCTGTTGTCCACTCCTTCACAACAGCCTTTACAGAAGAGCCAAAGGAGCTGGTAGGTGTGAGTTCTGGTACAGGAACTACGGTAAAGAAATGAAACAAAAGATGGCAGATTTAACAATGGCATAAGGAATTTGCAAGGCTATAGTGCTGCTAGTTTCACTTTTTCATTTCAATATAAATTGCTGATAGCCAAATAAAACCAACTTCTTTTTATATAATACTGCCAACAATTTAGAAGCAAATTTTATGATGGCTGCTCTAAAAAAATGAAGTGTTTCTGGGCTAAATTACTACTGTAAGATTGAACTAATTAGGCTTTATCAAGATATTTTCAACAAAATCATCTATGTCTTTTTGTTCATTTAACTGTATGTAATGTGTAGACACAAGCACCCGGTTAATTCCTAATATTACTGTGAAAGTATGATTGGGGCTTGGGGAGTTTTGATACAGAATGCTCTAGCTAGCAAAACCTTTTAGCACAAGTCATTTTTGTTTCATTAGATCTTGGAGAGACTGATCTTCCCTTCTTCTACATGTGTTTTGTTAATGTGAATGTTTGAGTTACTTGCCAGCATCCTTTGGGTGAATGTTCTGTGTACTGTGTACCTCAATCATAAATAAGCAAAGCAAGTGCACGTACAACTTTATACCATGAAAATGTATGCACGTGATTTATTTATAAATTTTTCCCTGAAGTAAAAACAATTTAACATGCTCTTGCATCTTACATTTACATGTCTATGTAAATGTTGGCCAAGTGGTATTTCTAGTAATTTCATATGGCTGCAGGGACAGCAGCAGTGTTTCATGTACTCTCCTGGTGCTTGACTTACCTCAGGTTGGATGAAAAGTATGCTTCTGCTTCAATGTACTCACCCCAGATACCTCTGCTGGGTTCAGCTGACTAAATGCTAGGCATCTATCTCACAGCAAAGCACCCAAGAGTGCCTTTATATTCAGTGTGTAACTATTGTATTCTAGTCACCACACATAGTACTGACTAAATGGTAGCTGACTAAAATTGGGATTGTAGATTGGACTTGTCTTCATATCATTCACTATGAACTCCTGTTTCTGGAGAATTAAATGATCTCTTCAGGGAGTATTTTATTGAGGAGATTCTTTGACATGTAGCGAAACATGAAAAAGTGACACAACTAAAGGCAGTTCTTATGAGTGTCATGGTTTGAGCTCAGAAAACAACTGAGCACCACACAGCCTTTCACTCCCCTCTCCCTCCCAGCAAAATAAGCCATGACTGGGATTCGAGATAGGACTGGGAGGGGCAAATGACCCATTATGGTCACAGGCAAAAGGCAGACTCGTTAGGAGAAGAAAAAAAGAACATCAATTTATTACAGGCACTGGCAATAACAACAGACAGAGTAAGACAGTGAGAAGCATAACCACACCTTGAGGACACCTTCCCCCCACCCCTCCCTTCTTCCTGGGCTCAGCTTTGCTCCCATATCTCTACCTCCTCCCCAGAGCAGTGCAGGGGGCAGGGAATGGGGGGTCCAGTCAATGCTGCCGCTTCTTCCATCTTTGGTGGAGGGAGGAAGGAACTTCTTGCCCCTACCTCCAGCGTGGCTCCCCTCTCACAGGAGACAGTCCTCCACAAACTTTCTCCAACATGAGTCACTCCCATGGGCCGCAGCATTTCCCACACTGCTCCATCGTGGGTCACTAACTTTCTCTGACTGGATTCCCTCCCACAGCTGCAGCCCTTCCCGAGCTGCTGCAGCGTGGGACACCCCCACATGCTGAAATCCTCCCATTGCTGAACAACAGTGGAAGCTGCTTCTTCCCACAGGATCCTGGCCTCCTTTGGATGCAGCCACTGTAAATGTCCGTATGAGGCCCCTCACAGGCCATAAATTAGTGTCTGCTCCACCATAGACCTCCATGGGTGGCAGGGGGGGCCGCCCTGCCGTCTCCCCACAGGATACAGGGGGGTCTCTGCTCCGGCACTCCTCCTCCCTCCTTTCTTCCTCCTTTCCTCCACTGACCTTGGTGTTCACGCAGCTACAGCAACTCCTCCTCACAAGTCTGACTCCTCCTCACCACGTCCCTTCTTAAATACATTAACGCAGAGGCACAGCTGATTGGCTCAGTTTTGGTGCAGAGGTGGGGCTGGCTTGGAGCTGGGGGAGCTTTGAGAAGCTTCTCACAGGGGCCACTGCTGTAGTCTCTTCCGTTGCTACCAAAAAACCCCGCCACTCACTCAAACCCAGGACAGAGGCACTTAATATCACTTCTAGAGTGACATATTTCAGTAGAGGGATGATCAGCTTTTAAAAATTAATTGTAATTTTTAAAACACAGAACAAACATTTATGGTAAAATTAGACAGCTTTTCTTTCTCAAAATCGAAATCTGTCTAAACACAGGGTTTCTCTTTAAGAGATTAACAATTCCAGTTGGTATATTTACTGTGGCTGGAATTTTCAGTGCTAAGTCTTTGTTTCAGTTTACATTTCTTTGGAAAAAAAAAAAAAAATATCTGCTCTAACTCCAGTGCATAGGGACTTGGACTAGGAACATGACATTTGTTTAAAAATTGCACTTCTTTATCACTTGAAAGTCAACTTAGAAGAAGCTCTACTTGTGTATCCTACAGTGGAGCATGTACTGGGTACTGTCAGTCTCTCTTAATGGCAATATATAAAATCTGATCACCTGTTATTGTCATGATAAATATATATTTCAGTTAGAAAGTTATGATACTACTCTCCAGCACTACCAAGGAGATGTAGGTTGTACCTGCTGCTCCCACCCTCACACTCAGTGTAAAGGAGTGCTGCAGTGCTAGTTAAGGAAAACCATGTCTTGAGTGTGTGGTGTATGGGGCACCATGCTTCAGCAGTTTCCATGGGTGTTAAAACTTGCTTCTGTTAAAAAGAAAATCCTGAGTTTAAAAAAAAAAATTTTGCCCAATTAACTTCTGCCACTGAAAGTCTTGTTGAATGATCAAATTCCTTGAAAACTCATTTCAGATAAGAAAACCAGTTTGGCTGTTACTTGATTTACAAGGAAGTATGTTCTTGCTATCTATTTCAAAGGGATGAATGTTGGCACATTTCTTTGGTTCTCTGTTGCCTGGATTAGCTCTGCAAAAAAGGCAGTGTCTTAGTCATCAGGAGTGTGAGCATTTCTCCTCTTTATAGTGAACAGATACAAAGGTTTGGAAACGTCGAGTACAACTTCTTTGCCTTTGGCACATGTTCACAAACATTCACCTATCATGGTT